GCTGTCGACTTTTTGACCGCGATTAATTTTTGTGTATATCGCATAATAACTAATAAAATACAAAATTACACGCATATTGTGTATGGAAATAATAATAGTAATAATATTATTTTTATGTACAATACGCAGCGAAAAAACGCAATCGCGCGTTCTTTTCGCTGGCCGGAAAAACATTTTTGTCGTTTGTGGTCGTCGTCAGTAGGATGGTGAAGGGGTGGTGCAAATAAGTTAAGAGCGTCGAAAAAGGGACACTCGTTTAAGTACAACACACGAGTGCAGAATGCGGAAAAAAGAAGAAAAGACGGTTTTTCACTGCGTGTATAAATTTTTTTTTTTATTTATTTACCACGGTTTTATAATAAAACTGACTTTTTTTGTAATGCACATACACACGAACGCATTGTACGGTTCCGGTCGTTTTTTTACGGGCGAGAGATCACTCGAATTTAATTTATTTACTCGCGCGAGTTGACGAAAACTGTTTGAATCTCGTACCACAAATCTATTGTGTAACTGGAGGACTTATGACGTTGCAGGGTTAAATTGTAGTAAAAAAAAAAAAACTATATACATAATAAAAATACAAAAAAACCTGAAAGTTTTACAGAACGTAGGCGGGTATTTCTCTGGTTGGTCAATGGTTGGCTCGGGTGTGAACCTTTTACGCGGTATAGTAACGATTTTAGAATAATATTCTAATAATGCATGTATATTATTAATAACATACATCTTAGTACATATTATACAGGAGTATACAATTTTAGTTTCGGCCAACGATATAACATTTTTAATTACTGTTAAAGTTTTTATACTCACTTGCTTTCGATATCGATGTTCAATGGCGGGGGTGAGCATGTAAATTATCAACATTCAGTCAAAAATAGATTGAACGGTATTTTTTAGTGTGTATACCTGCTATTTCCTGGATTTTACTAGCTCCGTGGAATATCTCAGTGAAAATTTTTTCATTTATTGTAATTTGTAGTTTTTTCGTAGTTAATTCATTCGATTGTATACCTAGCTGTAAATTATCTAAATTTTCCGTTGGAGCATTCCAAAAACATTTTCCATTATGCATATAGTTATTAAACAAATAATAATAATACACAATGAATTTAAATTTTTTTAAATTTTAGTCACCATTATTAGTGTGCGTTACTAGAACAAGCTCATTCAAAAAAAAAATCCCATCTCTATACAATGATCCGAGGTCTTAAACTTTTTATTAGAAATTTCCTAAAGCTTTTATTAATTCTTTAGTACGTTTAAAAGTGTCATGTGGGTTTCATCACATTTTTTCATGTTCATGAGTCATATGTTCTAAATATTAGATACATCCAATTTTTCTCTCAATTGAATATTATATTATAAATATAGGTAATTTTATTTAAATTAAAACCTTGCTTAAAATCAATTTGATATCCACGTCGTACTTGTGGATTTTGATACGGGTATGGTACGCAAAATACTACTGAACAGATTAAGCTGAGATTTTGCCTAGATGTGATTTTAGATCAAGAATAACTTATAGGCTATGATTTTTCTCCCCATAAAGGCATCTCACACAAGGTTATAGGTATTTATGGTAGCGAAAATCGAATTATTTTTCTTAATTGATGGATTTTCTTGGTGATATGGATGAGATAAAAAAAAATGGATAAACATACTTCACACGTGGGTGCAGTCACTGTTTGTAAGTGAGAAGTTGGGAAGGTAGGATAAAGATGGAAATTTAATATATATATATATATATATATATATATATATATCTGCAATTAACGATAAACCTTTGCTAACGAAAAAACGATTCTGAGTGAAGTTCAGTTTATAGTATTACTTTGAACACAGTATATATTATTGAAATGATTACAACAATGTGCGTTTTCATGGCAACAATGATTGTTTAAAAAATATTAAAATAATAAAAACTTAACAACAAAAAATAAATAAAAACAGTTGCCAATGACAATCTTATTTTTAATCTTTGAATATTATTTAACCTAAAGAACCAGGTTTTCCTTATTTTCTCGAATATTAATGAGGACTTCAAAAAATTACCTCTACAGTCCCACCCAGAAAACATTTCTTTTCAAAAAAGGTGCTACACTTGATATTCAGAGTAAGCATTTTAGTCGAAAAAGTGTTATCATAAAATAATTTAAAAAAACAAACATCTTTTGTAAAACCAATATATTTTTCGCTAAACTCAGAATCTAAAAATGTTAAAACAAACAAAACAAATAAATAAATGTTTTAGGGCTGTGATAGTTGGAGCGAGGATATACGTATTCGGAACAGTAGTTACTATGGAAACCGGTAACTTAGTTCATTGTTGGAGTGTACTTTTTTTGGCTCAGGCAACGACGGGCAAAACAAAAATGTGCGAGGTCTCGGTTTTGTTTCGTGGCTAACAATTTCCATTATTTTATTTTTGTATCATCATGTAGGTAGGTTATCAGGTTCGTACCAAGCGCCGAGTGACAACCGGCCTAGCCGGTAAAGTCCCCAACAGTTGTGCCGTGACCACAGGTGGCCGAAGCGCGTGGATTTTTTTCGTTTTAGCTTTAAGATTAAACGACGAGAACAAAGTATTTTGTACGGTATACACAGAAGATGTTTATGTATCTCAGTGTGTTTTTTCGTATTGAGATCAAAGATATCTGATTCCCGTTTCACAGTACCTGGGGCACGATGGGTATACGGTTTTGTTTTTTTGTTTTTTTTTTTTGTTTTACGAAATTGAATCCCGATATTGCGATATTATACATTTTGGATTGGCTATCGAACAATACAAATCCGATACGCAACGATAATTGTTATCGTCCGTTCCGTCACGTCGTCGGCGAACCGAACGAGAATGAATTATACCGCGCGAAACATTATAATATCAACGCGATCGACGCGCGGTTACGCGATATTTTTGTTCGGTTCGCCCCTTGTCCGCGACGCGAGAGAATATAAGCGTATATTATATAATATATGTGTACGTATACACATATCCAATATTTTATTCCGACAATATTATTTTCGTATATTATAATATTATATATAGTACGTATCCGAAACGGAATGCATTTTTTTCCCCCCTCTCCCACTGTTATACGCACTGTGGCGTCCAATAAATCACGCGCCGGCCGTATAACGATAATATATATATACATATTATTTACGATACGGGAAACGTAAAACGCGAATCCGATCAATTATTGATAGAATATTATTTTTTTTCTCTCCCTCTAAACGCGTATTGTTTTCCCGGTTTTAGGCCCGGGAATCGTGTACGAATATCATGCGAAAAATTCGATCACGTAACTCGAGCCCGAGACGGAACAATATAGCCTACAGTGAACACGTATACTTTAATACTCGCTTGGTATTTTTTTTTTTTTTTTTTTTTTAAAAAAAAAAAAAAAAAAAAACAAAAATGTTGAAAAACTGTGGATGTACCCCACCCGTATAGTTTTCAACGAAATCGATTTTAATTCTTTTTTTCTCCTTTTAATATTATCAATATGCTGATATATTATATTATACTGAGCTCTGTTCAAAATCATTTTCCAAAAAATAAAATATTGGTAGTGCAAATACTAACGACGAATCGTTATAAAATCCCTCAATGTTTTTAAGTTTACAAAAATCGTTATTCATGAAACAATCGGTGAATCGTTTGGTATAGGTTCTAATGAGGAAAAAATATTGAACGAAAAAAAGTTATGTGCATGTGTCAGAGATATCTGAACGACACTGTGTATGTATTAAAAAATACACAGTATGATTCACTAAGCGTGCTCACTCCATTTTTTTGCTTACATTTTGTATATATATTCTGACTTTTTGGGTTTTTTTACGTGCAGTTAAAATCAATATCTTCAAATACTTGGATTTTTCACATTTAAAGAGTATCCTATGACGATAATAACTTCGGTTTTTCAAATGAGAACCTGTATTAAAAATCCCATTATTTATGGGAATTACTCCTTTTATTTGAAGGAGTAATTCCAAAAATCAGAATTTGAATGCTTGCAAAATTTTACCGAAAAAAAATGGATGGTCTCGCTTAGTGAATCGCCCTGTATCGATCGTGACCACCGGCAAATTATTACGTCGATATAGACTTTGCGCCAGATGAATATCTATTAATTCCGCGGTCGCGTAGCCATCCGCGAATTCGTCTTCTAGCGGAATATTTTGAAAATTACGATTAGTGTACACCGGTGTTTCCCAACATTTTCGACGGTACGGTCCGCTCAGAGGACTTTTGATGAGTCGCGGACCTCGACAATTCACGGAGAAATTATTTTTTCACGCTCGCGCAAATGTGATGCAGTATAACTATTTATTGTCCCGAAAAATGGAAAAATATACGAAATGTTGTAATTAGTAAGTATTTATTAAGAGATTTTTTTTCCCCGTTAACAACTTTTACGTTACCACCGATTTTGCTCCGTTTTACTCTTTCTGAAAGAAAATCCGACTGGGATGGCACTTTAAGGAGGTAATTTTTTTGATTTACATAAGAGTTTTTCCCGACAAATAGAAAAAACACGGTAAAAACCGAGAAAATAGATACATTATTAAACGAGCATTATTAAAGAAAATGCATAGTGCATTATTAAATTTCCCCTATATCTTGCCAACTTCTCACCTAGTCACCAAGTCAATCACGTGCGAAGTATGTGCGGTTTTTTTTAAATTTTTGCAGTAAAAAAATAAAAATCGAAAAAAGCAGTCGGCACCGTGGACGGTCAATGCCAATCTACGAGCTATCGGTGGTTCGCAGACCACCGGCTGGGAACCACTAGCGTGCGCGAACACGGTGCGGACGGTACAGTACAATTTAAGCGCGTTTTCACGCGGAACGATCGGCGACTATCGGAATCTCTGTCGCGATGGTAAATCATTTGCCGGTCCGCCGTCACCTATCAATATATTTCAGTAATCCGACGGATACACACATATTATACAGTCAAGTCGACCGGAAAATGATCGTCGCGTTTTCGTCGTGTAAATAATCCGACCGAAAACCATTGATACGAACGTCGTAGTTCGAAATCGACAAACCAAATCAAGTATGTAGTATCGAATTGTCAACGTATTACAGTAAATATATATTATATACACTCCTTGTCATTCAGAAATCTCGATTCGAATGTTACGAGAAAAATCTTTTCTGGATCAAAACCCTATCTAGTTGATGTAAAAGAAAGTATTTTTTAGATTTTTTGCGTATTTTTCATAATAATTTTGAAAAAAACCGGGGAAAAAACGTTAAAGAAAAATTACTGAATAAACGTTTTAATTATTTTAATTTTTTTTCGGCTTTATTTTTCTACCGGAAATCTTGCACCAAAATTCAAGTGTAGCATAATGTTTCTGAAAGATGTTAAAGATCTTGAAAGAATTAATTAGCTTAACGAATACTATTTAAATTTGTTTTTTTCCATAAATAATAATCTATTTTTGGAATAGTCGGTAAAGACATTTTTATTGAAAATTTTAAATTCTGTAGTAGAGCTTCCAAAACAATAATATTGCCCATTTTCATTAATTTTTCAATCCTCTAGTTGAACATGAAGAAAAAGAGTATTCATAGTGAAATTTCGGTTAGATTTTTTTCTTATAGTATTAAACAAACTGTCAAATCAATATGTTGAATGTCCAAAAATAAGGACCACAAACTCAGCAGTATCGGTACCTAGCATCGGTGAAAACGTTATTTTAACTAAAATACTTTAAAGCCTATCAGATTTCAAACCCTATATATGCTATTAAAAATTCGAGTATAATAAGAACTCGAAGAGTTACCAGCTTCGTCCGTATAACTACGCCTAAATAATATCATTTAAACGGTTTAAGCAGACAATACAAACGAATTCATATAAGATTCGAGAAATCAAGTTAATTTATTTCGATATGTTTAAAAGTGAGTCTCAGATAGGGGGAAGTATAAATAAAATTCACCCAAACTTTATACCTATTCGATAAAATCGCGCACGGCCGTGGGTTTTTGAATAGGCCGAAAACTATATTGCGTACAGCACTGGCTCTGGTCGAAACGGGAACAACACAGAGAGCCCGGCCGAGAGCGGGATAAAGAAGAAACTTGGTAAACTTGGCTCGCGGCCATTTTGGAGGCCATCCAAATGTCGTCGTCACCGCCGCCACTGCCACCACCACCATCACCACCGCCGCTTGGTTGGCACTAATCCGAAAATTTCGCTTGCTCTTATAAAGGTACCAATATTATATAGTACTATACGGATGGCAAAGGCTCTTAGAAATGTATATAGGTATATATTTGTATGTTTTTATAAAACCGGACTACCTGTTTCCATCGCCACCGATTTCATCGGACTTCCGTAAAATAAAGTTGTTCCACATAACACATAAATATAACAGTAACTTCACACTATCTCGGGACTAATAATCAAATATCATAAAGAAAATAAAAACCCAGAATCCGTCATCCTCTCTATGATATACTGCGAGTGTATAAGGTCTTCGGGCGACTTTTGAGGTAGTTTAGAAGTACCGCTATTAAAAACCAAAAACGTGTTTCGATAAATATTACTTAAAAATTGAACATTATACGTTTGTTCTTTTTTCTCCTATTTGGAGATACTTTTTTACCGAAAATCTTGTTTTTAATTTCTAATGTAACGTTTTTTCTGAAATAAAATTTTAACTAGATGGTTCATTTAAGAGTTGATTTGTTTATTTTCCTTGTAGTTTTCTTAACGATTTAGATGAACCGAGCAAATTTACGACAATATCAATATCCTTTTTACATTCTTTTTTTTTATTTCATTTTTTTCTAGATGTAAGTAAAACGTTCAAATCATTCTGGAAATTATTGAGCTATTTATTAACATTTAACATTATTGCAAAAATATTTGCAAATTTTACATCATAATCTGTATTCCATGGTAAAAAAATAAATAAAATTGAGTTAATATTGTATTTTAATGCCGTTAATTAAAGTTAATTAAAGCAATTAATGTCGTGAGTTTTTTTAAGATCTTTTAAGTTCAAATTTTGAGGAAAATAAAAAACTATGTTTATCCGGACTTTGGAGAGTTTTTCCTTAGCGATAGTTTATCGTTGGTTATAGGTATGAATTGAATAATTTTATGTACCCCACCTTTCCCACAAACGACCTATTTATTTTTTTTTCATTTTCAGCCGTCGTAGAAGTATTCAATTTCAAACGGGCGATTTTATTTTCTTTACGGCTGATAAAGACCCTCCGGACCATTATTATTATAGCCTATTTGGCCGATTGCCGTTTACCATGAAATATATGTATTGCGGTACTTATCTATATATACATAATTTGTGCGGGGAGAATCGAGAGAATATTATATAGGTACGGTTTTAATTTTTTTTAATTGTTATACGGCTCCGTGGTAGTAACAATAATAGTGTTATTTGTTATTATTGTTATTATTATTATAACGACGCGTAATATTTTACGTGTGATACGATAAGTCTGTTGTCATAGATAGGGCGTGTAATAATTTCTTTGGAAACCCTTAACGTTAATTGATAATACCTTTCATAAATAAATATATCTTATTAGATTAGTGGATTTTACTTCTGTTTGATCTTCAAATAGAAAACTTTCGCATTATATTTGTTCGATATTTTACCAATATTATATGGTCGACTGAGTCACAATTCATCTATTGAAAAAAAAAAAAAAAAATGTCGCGGAATATTAAGACGTTAAAATCGATTCTAATTTTTTATATATTAATATTGCATGATATGTATATTAGTCAGGTATATTATATTTTTATAATATTAAGATTTTTACACGCATTTGGCCGTTTTAAAAACAAGAGAAAACGTATTCGATTACAATCGATCTATTTATCGATTGCAGTGTGCGTGGCACGTAGATAGTTAAAATTGAAAACATAAAAATCCGACTTCAAAGTACGACCGTAAACCCTTGACGGTCTGCTGAGTTCAAAGTTATTATTACGGATTATTGAATTCAAAAGTACTTAGTATTTCAAGAGTTAAATCCTATACTACAACCATAATACTATAAATCGTTTGTTTTCCTTAAATGAAATATAGGACATTTACTGTGGTTTTGAGATTTTAAAAATATCCGATATCAGCTCTGTTGATAGTTTTAGATTCTGAGTATTGAGATGAACGTAATAGTTATAAAAAAATTTTTTTTTTCCCCTCAGCAAATATTTTTTCAGTAGGTACCTGTGTAAAAAGTTTTCCGATTTGTCATGTCATCACCTCAAAACATGTGACATTTTCAGGCTGGCATATTATTATAACCTAAGTTATAATATATATTATTAACAAAATTATTATCATTTTAAACAGTTTAAAATGTTGATAGGTTCTATTTTAGATTCTGAGTAGAGCGAAGAAGTTTATGGTTTTACAAAGATGTTTATTTTATTTTTTATTTTTTATTTTTTTACTCTGTAAACAACTTTTCTACCAGAAGACTTGCTCAGATTTCTAAATGTAGCACCTTTACTGAAAGGAATTTAGTGCAGAAAGGTACTTTAAAGAGGTTATTTTTCGATTTTCTTAAGAGTTATTCATCAAATCCGAAAAAGAACGGGAAAATGTACGAAATACATTACTAAAATATTACGATTTTTTTTTTCTTGTGCATTACTCTTCAATCAATAATTTTGCACCAATTTTTAGTGATAGCAATATTTCTAAAAGGTAATTTCACTAGGTAGGTTCTTTAAAAAGGTCATTTTTTGATTTTCCTAATAGTTAACCCAGCAAATGTGAAAAACCCGGGTAAAACATGGAAAAACCGCGAAAAACGTAGACAAATTGTGAGAATCGGTACAACATTAAACAAATTTTATTAAAGAAGATATATAAATAAAAAAATTAATATATAAAGCTTTAATAGGCGTTATATAAAGCCTATTTAAATTTTTTTTTTACTATAAAATGACATATTTATTGTTGACAAAGTATCACTATCAACTGAACTCCGCTCAGAATCGTTTTTTCGTTAGCAATGGTTTATCGTTGCTTACAGCTATGCATTTAATTATCTATAATAGTGGTTGCCCCTGTCCATATTATTCTAGGATGTCTTTTTTTTTTATTTCTTAGTTACATTTTGGCAACAAAAAATAAAAAAATAGCTCACCAACTCACTTACAATATTGACCTGCACACGTTGTGAAGTATGTCCGACAATTTTGTTTTTACTCTTGTTTTCGTTTCGTTCGTTAGCGGATATAGTATACATTTATACAGAACTTTTTTAAATTCATAATATTAATATGCCCCGGCGCGTGCAGGATGAAAGATAAACCTATTTCATAATAAAAAACAAAAAAAAAAAAACAAATATTTAAATCGGTATGTAATATATATGCGCATTAATCAATTCGAAACAATTTATTTTTCGTACTAGTACTTTTAAATTATATTATACTTTCTACAGATTGAAATGTTTTTTTTTTTTTTTACCTTACAAGATTATACTGTAGGTAGTACGTTAGGGTAACCGATTTCCTCGTGGTTCGCATTATACCGAAACGAAATTCGTAATCCGACATTGTTTGGGTGTACAAAAAAAAAAAAAAAATAATTGCATGTCTATATTAAACATATAAGATTGTATCCCAGCGGAAAACAAAATCGTTTCGGATGGAAATCGATATGATACAGGTAGCTGCGTTTGATATAGATGCATTTTTTTTTTTTTTTTTTTTGGTTCTGACAAGCTTTTTTTATTATAATCCACGTACATTAATAATAATGATTATACTTTATTCTATTCCCCCGTTCAGAAAACTGTGAATAAAAGTTAAAAAAAAAAAAAATTATAATAATAATGAAACAAAATAAACTAAATAATAATAATAAGATAATAAAAGTAATATGTTTATGAAATTTGTGTATTGCATGACTCCAGTACTCTGCTATCTCTATGGCTTGTTGTTTACAGATTTAAATCTGTTATCTCACGTTTGGTCGAGCAATTGTTATAGATTAAATGTATGCCATTGTCTGTGACTCTCTACAACCACAGTTTGTGTCATCTTTTTCGTTAATTATTCCCCATATTCTCAGGATCTCCATTGTATGTTCAACAATTATTAAGAAAATCACAGGATAAATCAATAAATAACTATTTAAATGTATCAACTACCTAATTCAAAAAGGTTACAAGTAAGTTCTTGTAGACTTTTGAGGTAAGATTGAGGCAAAAAAGTAATTTAAAGACAAGCACATAAAAAATATATATAAAAAAAAAAATAATAAAACCGTATCGTTAATATAAAGATATATATATATATATTAATAATTTAAACATTTTTTTAAATGCCGTTCAAAAAAATTAATTTACATTCAGCATTCGTAAATAAAATAAAATAACAAAGTATTATATATACTACTAAAACTTCAACTCGTATTTTAAGGTTGATTAATGTTTCGAAGTTATTCGATTAATGTGCCTAACCGTCTGTTCGGCGCATAACTATTTATTATTTTGTTTTCGTATGCTATACGATAGTTAGTATATTAGTCGCGAGTTTGTGTGATAGACGATTTTCGTTTTTTACACGCGAATCGAATTAAAATGTACGCCCTCCCTCCAGTCGGTTATAATCCAATTTCGTCCGATCGGTTTCGTATAATTATTACCGTACCAGGGCAGACGGTCGACAAGTGCTCTTGGCGGCCAAGGCAATTCCGTCGAAGTGTATACGGCGCATTGTATTAAATAGCAGAATACACAGAAGTACTGAAATAGCCGATGTCTACCCCTGAGGGCTCTTTTCGCTGATGTTTATGTTGCGTTTGAATTTTTTTTCAATTTCATAATAATTGACCTGTTGTATTTTTAAATATAAATAAACTACTTTGTCCGTACGCTAACACGCCATATATCTATATAGAAACTAGAAGTCGGGAAAACCGTTTAGTTTTTACGAGTGAGAATGAATTCACTCTGGCGGACGTTGGCGATTCATTCAATGCAGGTAATGTAGAAACTGTTCGGCTGTCTTGTCCACGAACGTTATAATATTATTACCCTGATTTAGTTTTACTCCTCTTTTTTTTTTTTTTTCGATCTATTTCCACGGTGAATTAAATAACTTTAATTACAACGCGCATTTAAATTGCAAATTTACGGAAACACGTGTTTTTCATTATTTTCGGTTTTGTTTTTTTTTATTTTAATTCGGTTAAAAACAACAGTAGAGACCAGACATTTTCACATAATAGTTTTATGTTGGCTTTTCCTAAAAGCGGTGAAATGTTCAAAGAATTATGGCGATTTTCGAACTGTTTATAGGCATTAGAAATTGTCACGCTTTCTTGGTTTTAATTTATTTTTATGTGGATAAAATTGTGTTGGCCGATCAGAAATTTTTGAAAAAACTATTGACGTTTTGTTTTATAGATGTTTGAAGTTCAAATATTAATGAAAACCGTAAAAATAACGTATTTCGAATTCCAATCTTATTTTCTCGATTAACGTCAATATAATTTTTTAGCTCAGTTTAAGTTTTAACGAAAATCATAAAATAGATGGATTTTTAAAACATATTTAAAAGAATTTCGCTCAAAATCGTTTTTCGTTAACAATGGTTTATCATTCCGTACAGATATAAATTATATAACTCTATGCAGCATATTTTCCCAACTTCCTATCTACGACAGTAGCACACCCGTCAGTAGTATGAGCTCTTTATGTGAAAAATGCTGTTACTGCTAATAGGCGTGTCACGTTTTAGAATGGATGTTAGAACGAATAGAATATATATAGAGAGTGATTTCATTTATACACGTACATTTAGAAATAATATTTTCAACTCTATACTTTTTTCGTCGACCTGTGGCCAAATATAGTATTACAAATTTTTTATTAAAGCAATTCTACAAATCTATAACCCCGAGTTGGATGGTAGTCTAATAATAATAATTGCCGAGCATTTTGGATTTAAATTGTTTTACATTTAATACCTTAAATAGCCATTTAAGACTAATTTTTATAATTTACAGTTAATAACGGTTTTATTCGTAAAACTTGCAAATTTCATTTCCAATATTACTCCAACGACCCTACTTGTATTCTTATAACACACGACCAGTGGGTGACTTGTTAATTTTTATGTTCGTATCAACCTAACCAAAATCTGAGTTAACTATCATGTACCGTTTTGACGGGTTTGTCAAATTAATTAATATATATGTGTATATGTAAAAAAAAAACATAATAATAATAATAATATTATAACAATAATATATCTATAATAACAGTGCCGGTAGATTGACATTCGAAAATGTATTACTGTGTATCGGCCGTACTTCTTTAACAGTAACAAGCGTAAATATATTGTAATAGCCGAATGTTATTTGTACGAGAGGGAACAAAAACTTTGTATAATGTTTATATTATATTCCGCGCGCTTTTAAAAAAAATCACCGATAACGATCGCTCTTTGGTAAACAGAAAACAGAATATTATTATTGCTATTGTTGTTGTATATTATTACTACAGTCGTATTATTATACTCTGCCCTTGACATATCTATACTAGTGGTCGCTACGTATATTGCATTGTTATTTTGACTCCCGGAACGACATCCGAGTGATAACAGTTGTCGGTCAATAAAATAAATTGTGTAAAAAACAAACAAAAATAATAATATTCCTACACTTGTATTTATACATTTTATAATGATAAATATTTGCGGATGTACAGCACGAATCTATTCACTATTCTTAGATGCGTTATTCTATTGTAATTGTTGTAAAATAATACAAAACTCACAGTTGACGGGCATGCTACAGTTGCGGGTGAGATGCGGGCAAAGAAAACACATATATAGAGTAATTTAATTGATATCTGCATATCCAACGATAAATTATTGCTAACGAAAACCGATTGCGCGCGAAGTTCAGAATATTATTTTTATGTTTGTGCTCAACAATAATATGACATTTGCTTATACTGTTAGGAACCTTTACAAACAATTTTTAAAGTTTTGAACACTTAACCTATTTTTTTTTTTTTTTTTTTTAAATGTTCAAAGCGTATCGTGAAATCTATTTTTTAGCTCCATAGCACTAATATTTTCGAATTTCAACGGTATTATGTACTTTTTTTTTATATAACTAAGTAACACAAAAAAAATAAAAGGCGAGTGCTAAAGAAACGATTCACCGGCACAAACATAGAAAAAACTACATTTTCTCGTGTTCGGTACCACTTTTTTTTTTTTTTTTTTGTTAACGAGTTGTATATAAATACTATATCCACGAAAATTGTATTTGATCAAAATTCAACGATACAAGTGCTGGAAAAACTTTTTTCTTATTCGCCCAAAAAACTGCTTTTTTTCGTGTTTGGAGAGTTGTATGAAAGTTTTTTTTGATTCAAGAAATTCGAGTATTCAATTCTGGTGAAACGCAGCTAATTCTTTTGATTTTACCTTACCTTTTTACGTACGTAATTTCTATTTACAATTAGGTATATTAGTTTCTTAAAGTTTTACGTAATTAAATAGGTGCAAACCTTTTGGTTATTTAATTGCTTTTCATTTTCATAATTTCCGTCTAGGTATAGAAAATTAAAAAAAAAAAAAAATGCTGAAATTCAAATAATATGACTTGTAATTAAAAATGTCATAAAATTAACGCGAATATACAAGCGTTCCGTTAATTTGTTTTTATTTTTTCTTTGATCTCGCTTTCGGTATGCCTTTTTTAATTATCCCTTTGATCTGTATGAATATCTGTATAGTATACAAATCTGTATGAGCATTTAAGTAACAAGCTGCTCTACAATATTATATTTATGTTTTATTTTATCACCTTTATTTTCGGTGGTAAAACCACCACTTACTTTTGATTTTCAAATGGCAACCTTTATTAAAAATTGCATACATAGATGGAGTATTAGTTAAAATAAATATTAGTGTTGAGATTTTCGATTTCTGTCGAACCGTTGACCAGATATTCCACTATTAAGTTTTGATCGGATGAGAGTAGTGGTGCATTATTAACCGTGCCGTATCGCCACACAAATGATACTCCAACTGCGATGGTGTCATAGTAAAATCGTATTGTATTGTAAATCGTAAAAACAATAACATACATTACGTCATATTATCGTGTTATACACGTTTGTTTAGAAGGAAATCGCTGAATAGCCCCGTTGTCGTACCACATTAATATACACATACCAATAATAAAGATACCCTTTCCGTGTACCCCGTGACGGATATAGAAGACCAAAATGCGCTCCGATATTTTAGTACGTTTTTGAATATTTTCGCTTAGAGACCTACCGCGGCCGATTCTAGCGATAAACTCTCAAGCGTTCAACATTATTTTATTTACGTTTTGCGCGTATATATCTCAAACGTGTTTAACTGTACTGTGTGCGAAAATTATTTTTCACCCAAGAGCAGTTTGGCGAGGCATTGAAAATCGCACGAGGAGATTTCTTCTGCGTGTAGTATTTGCAACCAGGCCTTCGCGAGAAAATCGAATTTGTCCAACCATATACAGAAGAAACACGGTGGGTGTATCATAACTAATGTTTATTTTATAACATTAAACGGTCACCCATCAAAAATATCGAATAATAACTCTAAATAAAATTGAAAACGTACGATAGAGGTATAATGTTTTGAATAATATTAATGTTAAAATATTATCACGATTATGTTGACCCCCCGTCATCGTTGTTTATTTAATGTAATTGTTTACTTAATTATATTATTTTCTATGCGTATATGTAATACCGTTTCTTTAATATAAGGCTAGAGTGAGGACTTTTGTAAAATAAATGTATGTTTAAACATGTAAGGCTTAGATTTTATAGTACGACTACGAATTATATTTCTTATATATTCGAAAATGTATACCTAACACATAAACGTCTACAACAGTGTAATCAAATTAATAAAAACATTTTTTTTTTTTTTTAATTAATATCATTTATCACAAGGTTTAACGAAATTTAGTAATGGGTGTGTAACACACACGAAGGGTTTTATGCCTTTTTTAATATAACAGACATTAATTCACATCGCGGTTGTGATGATTAAAAAGGAAACTTGAATATAACCGCGATAATACTTTTCAAAACCGTACACCGATATCGTCGAATACAACTATAATATGTTCTTTTCGATAGTTTATTATTTTATAAACTAAAATTTGGCTTCACAATTAAAACTATTAAACAATATAAAATTAAAAACGTATGATAATATATAAATGATTATAGTTTCACGAAAATAAATTAATACATGTATGTACGAAAATTATTTTAAAAATGTTATCGATAATTTTTCAAAATGTATAATAAGACTACAATGACGCATTTATGTTATTTAACGCGAGGATTCACTCGTAATCATAATGGTAATTTATAATATTTCTAATAAATTAGTAGTGTGGACATTTTCGATCAACGTCGTGTATTTTGTCGGTTTCTACGTAATAATATTATTAAATCGTAAAAAAAAAAAAAAAAACGAAAAACCGCTAGGTTATGATTTTTGGACGGTCCCGGGCTAACGGTTAAATTAATGGTTTTAAATGGGTACCTACAACTCCCCACATTAAAACGAACGATAACGTCGTACAGAACCGGGCGAGATAAACGAAAATGAAAAAAAAAAAAAAACTTTGCCTTATTTCAGGCATGGGTAGATCAAAAGATGATGGAAACCTAATTATTATTGTTATTATTATTAAGGAATTTATACGTACTCCGAAGAGTTTTTTTTTTCAATGCTAGTGCTGCATGCAGTATCTTAAAATAGTGGAGTATAGTGGCTACTGCAGAGAAACCTTTTGAAGTTTTTTCGACATTTTTCTCGTTCCGGTTCTCCGAAACCTTACATGATTCTCTGTTATAATCATAACAGAAAACTGGTGGGTTTTTTTCTCCGTATAAATTTTAACGTGGCCGCCATCGATACCGACTTTTATGTTCGCGTGCACCTGATATAACTTTATTATAATACGGTTATCATAATATTATATTTCGTTTCGACGTATAAACGTGCACTCGTACGTATGTTTATGTATGTAATCGATCTTATATGCATTAAAAAACAAAACAAAACAAAACGTTTCTCAGCCGTTGTCGATTGACAGTGACCGGGTCAGCGGTTAAAAAATGCCGGGTGTTTACATTAGGTTAGGTTACAAAGCGCTAAAATTTTGATTCGGGTCGGTCAAAAGACGATAACGTCAAATTATTATTTTTAATAGTTTTATTTTTTTATTTTTTTAGATTCTGAATTTCCACGCATGTAGCGATGAAGTACTAATATTTTTTGCTTTGATTTTGTCATTCCGGGCTTAATAAGATGCGGAATCATAGGTATATATTTATTTTAAATATTTTTCGAATTTTCTAATCGTACTGTCGGTTTTTCCGTATACATTTTTTAACAGTTTTCTATACTCGTCAATCCATGAAAAAATAAAAAAGTACGGTTTTATTATATTTGTTTACTACCCTTTCAACGCGTTTCCCATTTCCAATCGACGTTATACACGGGCCGATTGTTTTTAACGCGTGGGTTAAAACAATTTTTTTTTTTAACCCTTCCATATAGAACAAAATAATATAAAGTTGTTCGATAAATAACAAATACGTCAGTAAAATATTAATTCGATGTTTCATGAAATGTGTACATAATTAATTGATACGCGAAAAGCTTGTAAAACAGATTCGAGTGTTAACGCATAAAAAACATTTTGTATTTCTATAGATGAGATTCAACGGAATAATAATTATTCATATTTCGAACCGTATTATTAGTGTGTCGCGTATGCGGCTGTCGAATAGGTTATTATTAGAGAGCAGTCTTTTTAGTTTTGAACAAATTCGATAAAATAATTCAATGTACATTACCTATACCAGAAAATCTGAATTTCAGCGATATTTTTCGAATATATAATATATTTGTGTATTTTTTATTTCGAACAAATACGAGTAATGTAATACGGAATTCATCGCGAAAGTGATCTGTCACCAACATAATAATTATACTATTCGTGCGTACACAAGGTTTTTAATATTTTAATATTTATATAATTCGCTTTTTTTCCTTTTCCGTGTGTGAAATAAATCTAAAAAAAATAACGTACTAAAATGGTGTACCAAACGTCTTCATTTATAATCCTTAGGTTGTTTCTAAATTATTTTGACGGTTCAGACGTAGAAGGTAAGCAATTTAATTGAATATATTATTCTCATATGTTAATCGCAGAATAAATATTGTAATTTTCATACAACAATAAGTATATTTTTATTTATTATCCAGGAAAAATATTATACAGATACGATATTATACAGGTAGTTAATATTATTCGATAAAATATTGAAATTATTTATATTTTTTGGATATATATTATATTCTCGTCAGAAATCGCGCAAAAATAATAACAAAAAAATATACAGAATGAATAAAAATACGTAAAATAAGAAATCGAAAATCACGAGCTGCTGCACTTGTTAAGCCTCTACGGCACTTTTTTTTTTTCCACTCGAAACGAGGTCGTAATTATTTAAAAATATATTATTATTATTATTTCCCTATACTATTTCCTCTTTCACGACAGATATTTTTTTTTGTATTCGCGTATTTATTTTAAATAATTGATTTTTTTTTTTTTTTTTATTTCAAAAGAATATCACGAGCAATACCAAATTGCCAACACTCGGTGTATAATATTATAATATTTGTGTGTGTGTGTGTATGTGTGTGCACGTTTCAATATTAACAAATAAATTGTATTTCTATTTGTATAAGCCACACTACAAAGGAATATAACCGTGTATAATCATAATTTGTTTTTTTTTTTTTCACTTTTTGTATTATTTCCGAAATAATATTTATTCGTATACTTATCCCGTTTTCGTAATATTATCGATATTATTTTCAAGTCAACGGCAGCAGTATAATATCGTTTACATTTAAAAAAAAAAATACCAGTTATTTGTACGATTTTCAAATAATAATTATTATAATTGTCGGGCACAAAATATTGATTCGGAATACCTATTTCGTCGTTCGATTTGAATGGGGAAAAAAAAAAACGAAACAAAAAAAATCTCCGTACGGATATAATGTATAATTAAATTATTTCATTCGGTCGGATTGTTCTCCGTTTCACAGCTGCAGTATAATGTCTCGTCTCGTTAATAAATTGTATAGATTTTAATTTTCTGCTAACGAATTCGTTTTATGACTAGAAATTTACGTGGAAAAAATACAATATATTTTAATTTTCGTATTCATCGCAGTCGTCAGAATATATTATGTCCCATTGACCCGATCAAAAAAATAATTCACTATTTGAATGCGGCCACTGACGGTTATTGTTTTGTAACTACACTAGATATAATATTGATAACTGACGATAATATGGGATGCTAACAATATTTGCCCACTAAGTTGTCCCATGCCCTAGCGTACATACTAGCGTGTCAAATGTAAATTGTTTCAACAAACCGAACTGTATTAACCTCGAGTGTAAGTTGAATATTTTTATTTTCTTTACGACAACTCTACGAGAGTTTTCGCTTCCACTGTTAGAAATATATCATTAGAAACGCTGAACAATCTAGTAGTTCTTAACATTCAAGCTATCTACCTAAGAATTTAAATTTTAAAGATAATACAATTATCAAGGTTTTACAATTGTTTAAAATTGAAATTAAATTTCTAAATTAGAATGTATTTATGTTTTTCAATTAGGTATGATGTTGTACTCATTATATTATATGTAATTAAATGTATATACATTTGTATTTTCTTTTGTTTGGTATTGCACGATTAACTCGCTATTTTTATCATTTTGATTACACTTTTAAATTTTTTGGTTGCAGAGGAGAGGGGGAGCAAAAATGTTTTGTGACACCACCGTCAAAATTATCTATCCTAAATATGACCTTTGAAACGAGAAAATCGACTACCTCTAATCTTATTTAAACCCGCGTGCCGTTAACCTTGCAAATATTATAATTCATAATACATATATATATATATAGAAAGAGAGAGAGAGAGAGACAGAGAGATGGTACCTATATTACCCATAAACTCAAAGACGTTATTTAATGTCTTATATTATACGCTTCTGGTATTAGGTAAGGTAAGCCACCTTAATACTGTAATTCGCTTAAAAGATGCGCTCGTCAATAAAACGAGATTATTTCGCACGGGATCAACGCCTAATAATGATATTAATAATATTAATAATTAAACGCGTCAAAAATATTGTATTGAAACTGGACAGCGTCTCCAGTATCCCGGTTGATTAAATTAATATTGTATTCAATGGGGTGTTTTGTTTTTAATCTTGATATATAGGGTGATTCACTAAGCGTGATCGCCCTATTTTTTTTTTTTTTTTTTTGGTTACATTTTGTATAAATTCAAATACTGATTTTTTGGAATTTTTAAGTGTAGTTAAAGCCCATATTTTCGAACAAATTTTTCACTACATTTAAGGTGTATCTTGTGGTGACACTAACTTTGGTTTTTCAAATGAGAACCTATTGGAGTATAATTTGTGTGGTGGCACAGCGCGCGGCGTTTTATTAGTGCTCCTGCACTACTCTCCCTCTGCTAAAACTTAAAAGTGGAATATCTCGTTAACGGGTAGACGGAAATCAAAAATGTAGACACTTAAATGTATTTATAGTAATCCTGCGTCTATTTATGGAATTTTTAATATAGATTCTCAATTGAAAAACAAAAGTTGCTTAAAAATTCCAAAAATCAGAATTTATGCAAAATTTAACCAAAGCAATGGGATAATTACGTGAATGAGTAAGCGAATCACTCTGTATATGTATAGTAAGTGTCTAAAACTATTTTGAATAAAATTTATTTTGATTTTTTTTCAGTAGTTGATATTGTATAGTACCAGTCAATATAATAGTTCTTATTGTTTACAATAAATACGTATTGTAACCCGAAATACTTCCAATTTTTTTCAGTTTCTTTTACCAAAAGATAAAAATCAACTGAAATATAAATATTTGTCGTCCTTATCTCTGTGAGGAATGTAAAAATAGAATTTGATTATCTTTGATTATCTCCGGAGATGGATAAATATTCGTGGGACACTCTGTACATCCAATTCCTTAATTTCCGTTCCAAAATAGTAGCACACCCATCAGCAGTATCAGCCTTTAAAAAAAAATATAACATCGGATGAAAATAATAATTTATAATTATCGCGATAGAAAAAAAGAAACGCGATCCTTATGTACCGTTGTACTACTATACGCGCAAACGACAGTTTTGATTAATTGAGTGCACATAGCGAGGCTGATGCTCATATATATATATATAGTTTTGATACATCCGAAATGGATGGTTTTTTCTACGCGAAAAAGAAATTTACAATACCCGGGTGTCCGTAAAAAAAGAGAAGGGGGAAAGAGAAAAAAACAAACCGTAGTAATAAATCATGTAAGCCGTGGTGTTGTGTTTTGTTCGGGGATAAGGAAACCGTCGCCGATTGACGAAATCGAATTATTACAAGAGATTTATAATAATAATATTGTGAGTCTCTACGGGGCCGAGGAGACATTGTCATACGGTAGTGATACGCGATTTTCACGGGTATGCGTGTACTACCCACCTACCGTTATACTGCTTTTCCATCCCTATTTTGGAATTTCGGACCGGGGGGACTGCTTAAAATTACTTCCCACCCCTTTGGAACATTGTTTATTGTAATAAAAAAATTAATTATATACAATTAAATTTAGCGCATCGGATTTCGGCGCACATAAATCTATTATAATATAAATAATCCCTAGGAATCGCTGGTCTCTACTTCCCAGGCCGGCCTACACCCGCAGCCTAGGACTTCGTCCATCACATCGTGCCGATGTCCCATCTTCGCCTCGTTCAGAATGTAATACAAAATATATTACACGATCGTGAGTTGAGAGGCGACCGGCGCGACCTTGGCGAATGTCTCGTCGGCAGCCATGGAGAAGGTCTCGTTTGTCGGCCTTGGCGGATCGCACTTAACCGGCCGACGACGGCGTTCATGATGGATACTTTTTCGGCGTCCATTTTTGGGTTTTTGTTGGTCTTCGTGACGAAGCGAATAAAACATTATGTTGAACTAACTGAAACGGAAAACGAATAAATTATAATTTCGTCCTTAAACCAACGTATACATTACTATAATTAGCTGACCCCGCGATTATTTCGAGTACATTGGCACTCGGTATAGGCATATACTCACCGAATTACAAAAATCGTGTTATGCCAAAATAGAAATCCCAGACATGTTTTTATATTAGGCAATTATGTACCGAGACTATGTCGATAGGCGAACATGGCCCGTGTGAGTTTTATGACAATACTATTGTAGGACGATTTCTGCAATAATACAATGTTATTATCGTGCCGATTTCGGTTTGTCATTTTGATAACGACCATGTTTCAAGACGGTATAATTAATTCAAATAATGAACGTTTATGAATAAATATTTCGTAGTATTATGAATTTCTGAGTGTAGCGAAAAAATTAGTTTTACACACTTGATCGGTCACTGATCACTGAACGCCACAATTAATTCACACCGTACATTGAAAGATGCGGATTTTTCCATTGCTGATTCTTATGTTATTATGTTATTTAAAAAAATCCTTCTGCTCCTACTGGGAATTTTTCTAAAACAAATTTAAAAAAACCGACAACAAATGACAATGCATTAGTTTATGTTTAGTGATTTTTAGGTTACTTTGGCTACAGTAGGACAAAAACACTACTAAAAATCTTACCAGTTTACTAATTTTTGATCAGAATCTTTTTTGATTGTAATGATTTATCTTGCTTTCAGTATATTACAAACTAAATATCTCTTTATCTCATATCTTCAAAACTTCCCACAACTAAAACAAGTGGCATACACGTGTTACGAAATATGGCCGGCTTTTAAAAAATAATAATCCCGGTATCCCACCAAAAACAATTGTATTTTAAAACAACGGCGGTGCCTTTATTTTGTTTATTTTAAATTTGTTAAAAATGTATATAATAACACACTACGTGATCATATCAACTACATGCTTAATACATTTTATACAATATTTATAATTCTCACTATTATTCGATTTTTAAATTTTATAAAAGACTATTATCTCAACTCGAAGAATGCGCAAACAATTTATAATTTCAAGCTCAGCGAATCTTAATATTCTTATTACCGACCGAGAATTATTCATAATTTCAGGGATCCGGGAAATATACGCGGATATAAATAAAAATCAGCAAGTATTACAAAATATACTTTTTAATCTTATATTCCAGTATTAGGATTTGGTGTGATTTTTTTTTTTTAAACAAGGACATTTATGAGTAATCGGCATTATAAGTAGATATAGAGGAGTTAATTAAAATGTTAGGTTTTTCAGTTGATTGCATAAAAGTCACGAGAAATTAAGTTTTAAAAATAATATACGCGTGTAGTACACATCTGCAGTATTTACTCCATCACTCATTCTAATTCGACTTGAGCATTGCAGAACCATTCCTGCGAATGAAAATAACAATTTTTTTTTTCTACGTGGTAAATAACTACCGGATTTTTTAATGTAGTTTTCTAATTTTATTAATTGGTTTATTACTTTAAACATGCATATTTTTACTATCGTTCGTCAGTTTTTTTAAATTTATTATGATGTGTGCTTTTTTCTTTATTTTAGTTTGTGTCTGTAAAAAAACTTTTCGGCCAGAAATCTTGCTCTATAATCAAAAACTCTATGGTCACTTTCTGGTAGCAAATTTTCAATCTAGTTGCATTAAGGAGGTTATTTTTTTTCCTTTTGGTTTCCTTTATAATGTAAAAACCCTGTGGAAAACAAAAATATTTACACAGTTACGGTTTTCGTTAATATTGATTTTGCTTTTATGTTGTAATTCAGTGAAAAATAATCGTATAGATATAAAAATTTTGTTGAATACTTGTGATATGAGCACTTAATCTAACCATTATAATCTACCGTCACACCTAGACCAGTCACGGTGCAAAACATTTCATATTTATACAAATTCATATTTTTAAAATAAACTAAAATATATTTAAAAACAAAATATACATAAAATTGTATTTCAAATAATTATTAATTAATCGAAACACTGTTCGTCATCGCTGAATATAATACATTTCAACGAGCTTCGTACATCGATATTGAATTATTTCATTCGTATTGAATTCATTAAAAACATTACAATACAGTAGGTAATTGTGAGCTGATAATATTTTACGACATTATTGTTTAATAACTCGTAAACAATTTTCCAAGTCAAAAATGTATTATGCACCGAATCGAATACGTGTTGTGTTGTGTATAAATAGATATATCATGACTTGTTGAATTTGTTTTAAAGTGGATGAGGTTATTTTTCTGGATACGACCATTGCGTATAAATACTGTAAAAAAAAATAAAAATATTAAAAACAAGAGCGTTAAAATTCTGAACTACACGCGGAATCGCTTTTCGGGCGTGACAACATAATGTATTATTATCATCACTTACGTATTTAAAATAGTACATAACACCAGTTATATTAACTATACCTCTCAGTATATTTTGTAGAGAACGATTTTATTTCGTATTCGGAACACTACATTATACGTATTCGGATAAACGCGTATACAAAACGTTTTTTTTCAAAAAGTTATGCCTTATACATACGTTTATGGATTACCATCATCATACCTAATTTTCAAAAAAATATTTAAAATTTTATTTGAGTAGAACAGCCAGTAAACAATTATGCCAATTCGGTAAACGGGATTTTTTTTTTTTTTAAATAACTGTTTTAAATGTATTTAATCAAAGTTGCTACATGCAGTTATAGAGTATTTTTGTTTAACGATTATTTTGGCAGCAGGTATATAATGCAAAAACACTAAATTACGTTATGTACACATAACATTTATTTATTTATTTTTAAATTATTTAAACAACTTTAAAGTGTAAATTATTGGCAATCCTAACTGGACATGACAAGAAGATCCAAAACACCGCCGTTAATATTGCACTGATTTTTATATGTCAACATATTACATTATGTTTTGCTATTTTGCTTATAGGTCGGCCGGCGGAGGTGATTTGGAGTAAATTGTTGACGTTTTTTTATTGTTCTTGTTTTTGCCTTTACTTTGTCCAATTGCTGAAAACGACATTTCTCCACGCATTGTGTGATGTCTGTTTACGTACTTGCATTTCGCATTTTTTTAAATAAAAAAAAGTTCAAAAACCGACGGATTACGTACAAGAGTTAATCTCAACATTTTCAAAAAATATCCTTTTCGATTTCGAGATTTGAAACGGAAGAGGAGGAGGGGAGAGAGTCATCACAGTGCATTGCATTATACATAAATAGCGTGTCGTACTATATATTTGTGTACACCCTGTGTCGGCTGCTGTAGGTTTTTTTTTTTTATTTTGCCTCCATGCTGCCGTCGCCGGGATTATTCGTCGACTAGGGATTTCGTTTCCCTCCTCTTGACCTCCCCCCTCCAACTCGTTTTTCACTGTAGGATTCGTTTATGTTATTATGTGCAGTGTACACTCGCGTGCGATTCGATTACGTTTTCCACTAATACCATGCGGAGTCTGCCGCGGCGTTTCGGGAAAGCTTTTGCGGGTTATAGCCGAAAAACAACTTTCCTGGGCCTTTGACGACCGACAAGACTATATAACATAGTATATACGTTATGCACATCCTGTATAGTGTATACAATATACACATATATAAATGTGAAGGTGTCTATACAAAACGATTCTGTGGACCGCGACACCGCACGGTCGTGGGAGGAACGGCGTAAAAATTCGATTTCGGTTTTGTTACTATATAATACACTTATTGTCATATAGAGTGCGGTGGAAACAATGTATCGCAGTAGTCTCTGTATTATGAATTTCGATCGTGGAAACCAACAACCCCCCCCCTCATCCATAAACTCAGAAAAATTATACATTTCATTTTTACTATGTGGATTTTGTTTATTTTTTTTTTCGGATTTATAAACTAAATTACATTGAAAATATTAATATTATTTGAAAATCGATATTAGTGCTGTAATGATTTAGTACATACGATTATAATGTTACAAATAAATACAGCCTATATGTTTTTAGTTTAAATTTATAATCAATTATTCGTGTATTGTTCACTAAAAACCAAACTGAACCCGTTTAGTTTTCTTCAACAGCGTACAGTTAATTTCCATAAGCACTGTGCAGATCCAATAATATTAAATTATAATACTTGTTCGTACATTGAAGAGGAACGGTCGAGACAGTTTTTTTATGAAATTCGAAATCGTCCAAAATGCGTTAAAATTTAATCTGTTCATACAACAATATATAAAAAAAATAGCTGATACTAGAGAGGGTGCCACTAATGTAGGTGGGAAGTTATAAAGTTAGGATACATTAAATTATATAATTTATGTGTGTAAGTTACGATAAACCATTGCTAATGAAAAACGATTTGAAGCGAAGTTCAGTTATAAATGTTTTGAAAGGCCATAATATTTATGATTTTGGTTAATATTTTAAATCTTATAAAAAAAAAAATTACATTAATATTTTTTTTTTATTCTCATGTGACTTATAATAAACATTCTATTAAATTTACAAGCATTTTTGTTTAATCTCACAATTTTATTCATCGAGTACCTACCAAATAAAAATTACGTGAAAACTCACAAAATTGAAATGTCTATAAAGAGCTCAAATTGCCTAAACATTTTTCAAAATGTGTGGTTATGACGCATAATAAGTTGACTTAATTCTAGTTCTCCGAAAATTGTGTTATTGAATGCTACTCAATAATTTTAAATTTAAATTAAATAATATTTTAATCTTATTACTACGAAAATTGACTAATTTCGCTTAAAAGAATATAAAATTAGTGTTTGATTTTTAATTTCAATGTTTCAATGCAAATATTTAGCAACCATTAAATTGTACATGTTTGAATATTTAACATCTAAATTAAAAAAAACAAATATTTAAACGGCTAATGTCAAATTACGTAAAAAAACTTGTAGACATTACAAAATTAAAACAATATGTACACAAAATTGTATACATATTTAATTTTAACTATTAATCGTTTTTTTGTAAACAATATTTTATCGTTGCTTACAAATATACATTAAATTATCTACAACAGTGGCTGCACCCGTCCCCATAATCTTAGGACGTCTATTTATTTTTAACTTTAAACAATTGTTAACAATCGAATTAATTGTTTATTATAACTTATAAAGTTATAACCGATGAGACTTTTAACGTTAAATACATTCACGGACCTATGATTATGAAAACTATTTCGTTGCACAAGGGAAAAAAAATCAATTCGAATAATATAGGCGATAATTATAACACTCCATTCGTGTCAGTACTATGGAATCTCGTCTTATGTAAAATCACGTGTAGATACCTAAGTCCGTAAAAGTCCAAAAAGAATTATTTTAAATCTCCCCGCGTGAACGTGATGTGTACATAATATCGATACCGTGAGATAGATACACGGTACAAAATATTTCGTATTTGTTTATACTTTTATTTACTTCAAAAAAATATATACCGTACACGTAGGTTTAAAACGTATTTCTCGACCGCTGTCTTCTTATGCGATATTATTATGCACGTTCAAATACGCTACACAACCGACATTTTTTAATGCTTTGTTTCCGAATAAATTATAGAACAATTTACCGGACGAAAAATGCGCGTTTGAAGGTTTAAACTTTAAAACTCAGTTCAAACGTAAAACTGAACGACGGATATTCTACCCGGCAGTTATATAATTTAATTCTAGTTTGCATCGTCGAAAATAATTAATTAAGAAAGCGCTACATGACTTAATCTGTAGAAGACTCCACGTATGCGCAATTTCAATTATTTACTTGAAAAGCCGAAGAGTGGCTGGATAAATGTATACGAAATATACCCACGAAAAGGGGCTTTACGCCGCACGCCTTCCTTCGGCTTACCTCTAAAATTTGTTTTTGAATATTGCTAAATTTGTGTTTGGCTATTTTATTAGCGCGCGTTATAATCATTACTCAGACATGTTCGCGTATTTTTGACCCGTTTTACCGTTAGCAGTCATCACTATAGGCACTATATTCAAGATTACGGATTATCGATTAAGCTGGTACAAAAAAAAAAAAAAAAAAAAAAACCATTAAACCATCATCTGGTTTCTAAACAAAATTGTATTACAGCTATGCACCAGCTATACATCAACTCGCCATGCCGTTTTGTTTAGTATGTTTTTAACACGACACGTTTCGTATAATATTATATGGAATATAAAATGTATTTCTTATCACATATCACGTGGGGAATGTTTTTGTGTTTACAAATAATATTTATTATTCAATTGTTTTCTTTATGATTATGATTTACGACAGTATTGGTGTAGTTTTAGGAATCTATCTATCTATTATAATCTATCTAATTATTTTTAATTTAATTGTAGACCTAGCTTAACCTAATTACTGATAGATAAACGCGGTGGGTAGGACGTTATTGATTAGTATATTATTATCAACAAAACATTAAACATATTTAATCGATAGTTCACGAGTAGACGGACAATGGTAATCGGCAATTAAAAAATATCGGTTCTTGAGCGGTTAATTTATTTTATGTTTTTATTACGTTTTCCGTTAACTGAATTAACCGTTAACTGTTAATCATCACGGTAACCGATAATCAGTTTAATATAGATATATTGGATAATCAATATAAAAACCTGCATAAAATAACGGTAAGTCGATTTAGGTTCCCGAATTCCGGAAAATTGCCGGTTTTTATCGGTTTTAAGGTCTGGTTAAGTAAATATAGAATTAAAAAACATAAACAAAAAAAAGTTGTGATTATTGCATGTTTTAATTTTTTTTTGTCGATTTTTCATTTGATTCGATGAATGACAGGAAAGGTGTTCCATTGTGTGTATAAATAATAAAAACCAAGTGTTGCAAAGAAAAAAACTGGTTTATTTTTATCATACTTACCACGTATGACGTAGTGTAGCGAGGACTTGAAAAAAAACAAAAAAACCTACAATCAAATCTAAAATTACAAGTTGTTGAAATATAAAAATAAACCGCATACTACACCATATTAAAGTAATATAAACATTAAACGAGTATAATAAAAAAAAAAAAACTACTTACAATGGAGGGGGCCACAGGCCCCGTAGTTTCCGGCTACGTCACTGGTTACCTATATAATTTTCTTTTAATAATAAAACATTTTGTGGTTGTTTGGACTATGGCGTTTTTGAATTTGCGCTTGACGGATGGCTAATACTGAAAATTAATATTATACTGACTCACGTGGTAAGTAAATTTTCGCGCATCAGTGTTTTTACGAATATTTATGAATTGTTACGATTTCAGTGAGTATTCGATTGAAATGGAAATTTTAATTTTAAAACGAAAGTTCTATTAAGACTAGTAAGACGAACATTTAATTTATATATAGTATTGTATATAGTAGATATATATAACAATAATATTTGATTTCCGTAACGAAACAAAAAATACAAGTCATCGCTACTCGATTCAATAGAATTTATATTATATTTTTATAGATTATAAAATAAAACAAATAAATTATTAAAATAATAATGTGTACACGATGACATTAGCCGTAAAATAATATTGAAACAATTTCAATCAAACCATACGAGTTTTTATAAAATTTCCGTTCTATAATAAAAAAAATCATCATAGCTGATTTATATGAAACGACTTTATCGCCCGCACAGCGAAATTGTCTGGAAAGATCCCAGTTTTGTGATTCAGATGCATGCGCCTCTTACCCAGACCTTGTTGACGAGTAAACAGCTTTAGAAATAATACATATATATAAGAGTTTAGAAATAATAAAGAACGAACGATAACGTTATCGAGATGAATTTGAATTTTTTAGTCGAACAAAATTCTTTGTTATTCGGCGCTCACCATCGTTTGGTTGGCGGAAGGAGTGACCTTGGCTACTGTTTTGAAAGGCCTTGGGCAGATTGGACGTGTTCGACGACGTCGATGTTCATGGATACTTTTTCGGCACCCATTTTGTTGTGTTTTGGTTTTTGTTTTTGGGCGATAAAGCGAAGACTAAAAGAGTAAAAACTAACAATAATAATAATAAAAAAGACCAATATTAAAATGTATTCACAACATTTTGCACTTACCGAAGAATAAAAATCGCACGAAAAATGTGTTATGCTCGAACTGAGAAAACGAACTCCTTTTATAATTTATACTCGTACATGCATTCGTCAGAACCGCCTGCAGATAGTGCGGATGGCGTGACGATCGTTCGACAAATCTCATCGTTTATTGTTTTTTTTTCTGCTAATAAACAGAGATAAAATCTGATTAAATTTTTTTAATTTTTGAGTACAGCGAGGCATATACTGGTTTCAATATTATAATATAGAGGCTATTTTTTTTAATATTTATATTTCCGCCTGTTTACAACTTTTCTACAAGAAACCTTATTCCGATTTTCAAATGTAGCGTTTTTCAAAACATACGTTTGATCCAACTCTGTTCAGAATCGTGTGTCGCTAATAATAATTAATTGTTGCGTACGGATATAAATTTAAAGACTTTGCACATCATATTTTCCTAACTTCCCGTCTACAACTGTGCCGGGGAAAAATATCTTGTAATAAAAACCATAGTTAAAACATTTAGATTATACTAATTTTCGAGGTGATTTTATGAATTTGTTTACCCTCATTTGCAGTTATTTCAAACCAGGATATTTTTAAAAATATGAGCTATGTCACGTAATATCCGTTTGAAGTTTCGCTGCGACTTCGGATCGATTAAAGATTTGAAACTTTCCAACTTTCGATATTTCGACAATGACTTTTTCGTGAGAAACCGTCGAGATTTATGTATATAAATATATACTGTTTACATGTAATACCTACCTACCTACGTAATACTACACGCACCTGAGCGAATCTCTGTAATTATTTTTGATTTATGAATATTTGTAACTGCATAATAATATAATACAACGACGACGACGACGACGACGCGTAATTATTTTGACTTTGTCGAGTGTATAATAATATTAATCCGACGTATGTGTTTGTCTTTGCGGCAATTCGAAATCGTTGAGAATTCACAAAGCGATGTGGAAAAATTATACTAATACCTTATTGCCTGTATGTACAAGGTGTATCCAATTACCCATGGCTACGCTCGATATTTATTCAAAAAATAAAATATTGTTTTGACAATTTATGAAACAAGCAGCTCTAAAATGTTGCATTTGCATTTTTTTTGTTACCCTTATTTTTGGAGCTGAGACAACTATGTACGTTTAATTTTCCAATTGGTTACAATATGGGTTACCATATTGAAAATTCCATGAATAACTTGAGTATTAGAATACATATATGTTGGCGTTGACATTTTTGATTTCCGTAAACTCGTTGACGAGATATTTTACTTCAAGTTCGGGAAAGCAGTAGACCAACATTTGTATGGTGGTGTTTTAATTTATTTGTGATCATTTTCGATCGTTTTATCAGTGTTTCACTACTCTACTTCGCCTACCAAATAAAAAATTTAAACACCAAAATGTTAAGTAAACGTATTGTAAATTAATATTAGGTAGTCGTTTCATCCCCGAAAATGAGGGTCACAAAAAAACTGGTATGTAATAAAACATTTTAGAACGGTTTTTTTCTTAAGTTATCAGCAAAAAAGTTTTGTGTTTTGAAAAAAGCCAATACTAATAGAAATTTGGAGTATATTCACTTAAATAGGTCGTATTGTAGTTTCGGTAAGACCTGTTTATACTGGTGCGCGCCTCGTTTTCGAATATAACATACGTCTTATCCGGGCGTATATATGATAAAGTTGCTGGAACTTTCCCTCGAGTAATTTTACCACGACGACGAAAAGTGTTTTCCGAGGTCGGGAAAGAAAATAATAAAAATAAAAAACAGCAGTATATGTATGCAGTCGTCGCCGAATATCTGAAATTATTGCACGCGTATACCGAAAACTTTTCAAGCGTTTTAGATTACGGCCGTCAAAGGCCGTTGATTTTCGTAAATTAGATCCCGAACACGAAATTACTATTGTGATAACTAGAGTCCGGATTTTTATGTTTTTGCATATTTTAACTGAGAGTATGCAGTCTTATGAGATTAAAAACTGTGGACGATTCGTTCAACACAGAGGTCACAGGGAAATGTTTTTTTGTTTTTCATATAAGAGAATATATTAGGGGTTATAGAATATTAAGTACGTTTAGGATATTATAGAGTGTTTTGTAAACTGTTAAAAAAATAAAAATAATACTAATTTATTGTAATTTTAAACCGTGATTTTAATTTTGATGTACCTGAAAAAATTATTTTTCGTTTCGTTTAACAACCATTATAATAAATGTATATTTAATACATCTATTTATCAATTTAATAAAATAAAAATATGTATATTAAAAAGCATATTACGTTTATGTATATTAACTAGTTTTGCATGTTTTTCCAATTTTTAAGAAAATATAGGAAAATATTTGTAGTTTTGTTTTTAGAGAGTATTAGTATCATATTTTAGTTATTTTATGAGAATATAAATCCTGATTATAATGTCAACTTATATGACGCAACATACGTGTTTCGGCGAACAACCAAGTGTAACCTGGTAACTATATTTATACATAAGTTGTTTTTTGCGATTTTTTTTTTTTTTATTGAAATATAATAATCAAACGAAACTATCGGTTATTGTGTATGGTTACGGATAAATTAATAATTATGTATTTAACAAGTATTATTTTTTATTAACAATAATTATAATTTGTAATAAATATAAACATGCTATTTTCGCGAATCTATAACTAAAATCATATATCTATAATTGATTAAAAATATAACCAGGTTAATCGCATACATACCTATTTTAGGTATAAGTTTAACTATAATGTGTAAGTTTGTATGTATGTGTATGTGTGTGTATGTGTACTTTGTAGATTCTGAGCGGAGTGAGGAATCTATTGGTTTTATAATAAAGTTTATTTTTTTTTCTGTCAACAAATTTTCCACTAGAGATTTTGATCCAATTTTCGAGTGTAGCACGTTTTCTAAAATTAAAATTAACTGGAGTCGTACTTTATGAAAGTTATTTTTTGATTTTCTTATGGGTTTTTATAATAAATGGAAAAAAGTGACAATTTTCGATATAAGTTTTTTTTATGTCTGGGTTATCATGGTAACAAGAGTAAATACGACTCTTAATACTCATTATTCCGCTCAAAATCTTTTATCGTTGCATACATTTATCAATTAAATTATTCTATATAAATATCTTCAATTCTCAACTTTCCTCCTTAATTAGTGACCCACCAAACACAGCAGTTTCAGCTGTTTTTAGATTTTGAGCGGATTGAATAATGTATTGATTTTTTATATATTAATAATTTTTTACCAAAAAGCTTACTCCGGTGTGTACGATGTAGATCCTTTCCTGAAAGTAAATTTTCTCATGGTATTACTTTAAGTAGATCATTTTTAGATTTTCCCAAGAATCTTTCCAGCAAAACCTGTGAAAACCTGGAGAAAAACATGAGAATACCGGTAACAATGTAGGAAAAAAAGGAAAATCAGTACAATATCAAACAAATATTATTAAAAAAAATATATAATGCATAATTAATTATTTTAACACAATATGACATACATATTGTTGACAAAGCATCACTATCAACTCAAAAGTGCTCAGAATCGTTTTTTCGTAATCACTGGTTTATATACATTAAATACATTATACACAAATATACATTAAATTGCCTTATATATTCTACCTTCTCCTATAACCATCTTTTTTTATATTATATAATATTAAGATTATTTTATTAAAAAAAAAAACACAATTTTTTCAACGAAATAGACGTAAATACAAAAACAAATAAAAACGTTTTAAGAAAACATGTAGACTTTTTTACGGTAATTTTTTCAAACGTTTTGTATTTTTCCACGTGAACATTGCTGGAGAATGCGAAAATAATGTTTCTGACTTTGGTCAACGAATGGATAACGGAAATCATACAAAATTTTGTAACAATTTTTGATATGTTAAAATTGCTAAAAAGTGTTATATTTTTTTTTAATAAAAAAAAAATCCTACGATAAATTAGGATGAAAGCAATTGTTTTAATGTGATTAAATAAATCATTTATTTTCGTTTTAGTTGATGCAACCAGGGTATCAGAATCATCAATTTTGAGTTCACAACAATATTAATAGACTTGTGTACTTAATATGGTAAACATTTTGTGTGATAAAATTAAAAATTAAGAAATGTCTAAAATAAAGTAAGATAAGATTGTAATTTAACCTAACTTAACATATTAAAATTGAAGTTTATATTTTTGGACGATAATTGATGATGGCACTAACTTTACAATATAAAATGTTGTTTTGAAAACTTGTAACTTAATTGGTGAGGAGTTTTCGTCTTACACGCGAACGATATAAAAATCGTCGATAGCGGGATTATTAAATTTGACGAAAATGCAAATATTTAAACTCTCTTTACATAACTGGAGATAGTTTTTAGTTTTTATAAAATGTGTTCTTTATTCCCGGAAAACGATTTTTCTTTTTGTCTATTACATATATATATATATTATTGACGAAGCAACACTATTAACCGAACTCCGCTCAGAATCGTTTTTTCGTTAGCAATGGTTCGTTGTTGCTTACAGATATACATTGAATTTTTCCTCTACTATCTCATTTACTTCTCATCTACAACAATGGCTGCATCCACGTACGAACCATATTGTGTGCACCAAGCCGTCTTAACATCAAATATAGCATATGTATTGTTGAATAAGCAATACTATTAACCAAGCTCATAATCGTTTTTCATTAGCAATGATTAATCTTTGTTACAGATTAATTGGCTTATTTTCGCGTTCAATTATTTATTTTAACACCACGTCGTATATTTATTGATTATTTTTCTAAAAATAGCCTAATTTGAGAAAAATGTTGGTGGGCTGGACTCCTGGCTCCTTTCCACAACTATATGCCTTTAATGGATATAATAAACTACAGATTAATAATTTGTTTATCCTGTACAACCGGTTAATGGATTAGCATAATAATATATCTGTATATAGGAATATACGCATAAGTACGATAAGTATTTTTGAAATTAAACGTCCGTGTATGAAATACAAATTATAGTTCTTTAGTATGGCTAACGATCGAAAATAATATTATAATAATTATTAATATGGATTAATATTGGATGGATCTAATATAATGTCCATTAGGTATACAAATGTATAATACATAATATAATTATATTAGATAAAAATATAATATAATTCATAGTAGTATATTATTGTTAACCAGTGGTTGAAGTGGTGGGGGAGTCCGAGTCCTCAATCTTCTTTAATTACAATTGGGATACGGACATATTTAAGCCGATCAGTATTTGATCTGACAATGTTTTATAGCTTATATGGCTCATTGGCCAGACGTCACATAAATAGTGCTACGGACCTATAATATAGTACCACATAATACATACAGTTCAATTGTCTAAGATAAAATCGCTAAAATCCTTAAACTAACAAGGCGTTAAAATTAATTAAATAAATAACGTGAAAGATAAGTTATAATATTGTACTCTTATTGTGATCTACACGAAATACGTATTTGTACTTTGAAAACCACTAAGATCGCTGTACTTACAATCAGATTTATGATAAAAAAAAAAAAAAAAAAAAACAATCATTTGTATTTGATTCGTGAAATTAGCATTTTATTCACCGCTCTTGGCTAATAATAGGTTCTGTAAACTGTATACGCGCAAATAACAGTCACGTAGAACATTGATTTAAAAACTATCATATACAAGTGCTCGATGCTAGAAATATAAGTGCAATTTAAATAAATATAATTATTAAGGTATCCAACGTATATAAATACATATAAGTTATGTATAACCATACCATACAAATACCGTATAGGCTTCTCAGGGCCGATTTTGACCGGCAGCGTGCTACTGATGGGCGGTAACGAACAGCGGCGTATCCAAAATTGTTTTTTTTTTTTTTTTTTTTGGAGGGAAGATTGAAAAAAAAAGTAACAAATTAAATTGTTTTGAATTTTGTGCGTATTATAATCACACATTAAACATTTTATTATCATTTTACAACGCTATAATTATATAAAAGTTGAAATATTTATCTTTTTTAAAAATTATAAATGTATATTCATTTTTCGTTTTGATGTTTTAGCAAATTCATCTATAACATCATTGATATCCACGTTGATATCGCGATGAATATATTTTAGTAAGGCTAAACCATTTAAACGTATTTGTCCGGAAGAATTTTTCAAATATGTTTTCAAACGACAAAGTGTTGAAAACGATCATTCTCCCGAGGCACTAGACACTGGAAGTGTTATGAATATTTTAAAAAGTTTATATATTACTGGATAAACATCTGAATTAGATTGTAAGTATACTTCAATAGCATTTTTGTTTTTGAATTCGGAAGATGTTAAAATGTATCCTACCTTTTAAACTTCTCACCTACGACAGTGACGCACCCGTCCTTAATATCAGCATTTTTTTTTTTTTTTATTATTATTATTATTTACCAGTATAATTAAATTTGTAAGTTCTTATTACATTTATAATAAATAAATAATTTCTTTCAAATTTTGGACAATGGTCCAATACGCAACCTACATAATTATAATAAATATAATATACAAATGAGTCGTTTTTGTTTAATTCTGGAGTTGAGATTCCAACAGACACCCGGCTTATAATCTTACCGGTAGTATATCGAACTCTATTCAGAATCATTTTTCGTTTGCAATGATTTGTTATCAATATCAGTAGCCAATAAGTATATAAACTATCTACGTATCTATATAACTATATATTAATCTTTTTTTACACCTTTCCGACTTTCCACCTATTCGACAATAACTTAACCACGGTGCAAAGTATGTCGCAGTTTTATTTTTCTTCTATGTATGGTCATAATAATCGGTATTTACTTGATATTTAAGATACAGTATTGCACATATTTTATACATAGGTACCTATGTTAATCTGTCTAAATCGCAAACGATTTTTATATGAACGCAGAATATTCAACGGTAAATAAAACTAATTGAATATTAAATACTGATCAAAATTTCAATCTCAACGATAAATAAAAATGTATACATTTTTTACAACGTACGTTTTTCGAGTATGGGTTTTTTTTTTTTTTAAAAAGGGTTTCTTTGTATAAAGATTATTTAATATTCTAGTTTAAATGTAAATTGGTTTTACGATGGAGTCTTTTTTTACACCACGCTTTTAAAACATTATACGTCTTCGCGTTTTCTGGAATTAGACCATTTACTAAAAGTAGAGTCAACGATTTTCATTATTTATACTTTTATACATTTTTAATAATTTTTTTACAATTTAAGATTCGATCGTCGGTTTGGTTGTTTTTCTTTTTTTTTTTAATATTTAAATTAGTAATATAATTACGTGATTTGTTTAATTAACAAATATGGACAAATTGACGTGGCCGTTTGGACGTGCGGATAATTGAATGTTAAAAAAAAAATATGTATTTATAAATCAATCATTAAACATATTTGTAGTAAAATTTTCTGCTGATTTATTTATATTTATAAATTATAAAACCACTGATATTACGTTCACAATACACGTATCCTAAGTACAAACTGGGTGAGATATATTTTATAACCTACTTGAAGCAGACAATAGTCCCCCTAAAAAATTAAATAAACTTATTGATTCGGATAAACGAATTTTAAGAATTGTGCAAAGTTATCAAACTTGAACTAAAATATAATTTTTACGCGCGATTGCTCAAAATATATATAAAATATATAAATATATAATATAATATTTTTGACGTTAAAAACTTTTCAAATATTGTATATACATTTTTTGACGTATTCATAATACATTAAATTAGTATAAATAACTATTTTTGGTATTGTATTTTAATTGTTGGCGTACCTATTATAATAAAAAAATTATTTCAGATTTTCTTTACGTATTGCAATAAATATATAATTAAAGTATTGACCGATTTATAATTTTTTTTTTATTTTACGCCCAATTTGCCCTATGTCCAAACGACCACATCCAAATGGCCACGTCCAAACGGCTACGTCCGTTTGTCCTAGATTGTTTAATTAAGTATAGTTTTTTAATGAAATTCTTCTTCATTTTTCTTTTCAATTCACGTTTTTGATAATGAACAAAAACTAAGTTTTTCGTTGTATTCTTTTTAATAAATTGAATGTAATAAAGTGATATAATAGGCTACTTTTTGAATAATTCAATCACTTTGTGAAAGTTTTTGTTGTTTAATATATAGTATATATTATACTATATAGTACATAAGGTCGTATCTAATAATTTGTTAACTACAGTAAAAAACAAAACTTAAATAATATTTAAAATTTAAAAATCAGGCAATGTAGTGTCTTACAAAGATAATATAACTAAATATGTTCGCAAAACTTTTCATATAGTTTTAGCGTACTGTTTCCAATGAGATATTATTCATCCACTAACCAACGTAACCGTTAAATTAATTTTCCATTACAACCATTACAAAAATAAATCGCCACCAAGTCGCACAAGTATTATACAAGGTGATCTATCCTCAGTAGGATACTCATTATCTCGGAGAATATTAACTTTTTTTGAATTTATTTTGTTTAGAAAATTTATGAAACAAAAAGCTCTACATTTTTAAATTGATATTACTTTTGGTCACGCTTATTTTTTGGAGTGAAACGAGCACCTACTTGTGATTTTAAAATGTATCTATCTAATAGAGTCTTAAAATTCCATAAACAGGTATTAGTTCAAATACATTTTGGTGTTGACATTTTCGATTTCCGTAAACCCACTGGCGAGATATTGCACTCTTAACTTTTGGTAAAGGAAGAGTAGCGGAGCATAATTTGAGCGGCGACACGACGTGCAGCGTTTGAATAAGGAGGACAAAAAATAATAATAATGTAACGTTTAAGTGATGCTGATTTCTTAAATTGTTAAAAATTAAAAAATTAAATAAAACATTTCGTTAAAGTTAATACGTATAATGAGACTCTATCGAGTATTGATCGGGACAGTTGTGAAATTCGGCACCATGATAGTTGCTATGATTAATGATCATGGTGTAAATAAAGCAATAGTGATTATTACTAACGCAAAAGGTTAGGCTTCAAAGGAACACAATAATGTAATATTACAATTATTATCAAAACAAAACCCAAAACGTGTGTAGTTTGTTTTTTTATCTATCCTTTATCCAACCGTTTTGTTTGTTTTAGTTATAGTTTTGGGTAGGTATTCGATTGTGACCTTTAGGTTCTTACGGTTAAAAGCGTAATGGGCAGCGATAAATAAATGAAAAACAAAACCAACTAAACGACAGAATGGTTTATTGCTGTGTGATGTAAATACATAATTTTAAATAGAATTTATTTATAAAAATAATATACGTATCGGCATTTTCGACCTAAGGCATATTTTCGGGTCATGTTGAAGATCCGCCCGAGAATTAACAGTTCTGAAGCAAAAACAAAAAATAATAATAAAAATAATTAATGCATTAATTCAATTAAATATTCTAAGTATGTACAACTAATTAATTTTTTTTTTAACGCACCATGTTTTATGGAAAGGATAACGTTATTGTTGAATTATATATAAACAGTTGTTGTAATATTTGTAATATTTCAGAATGCGAAATACATAATTATTTGTTTTTATTTAAATATTTAAATATTTGTTTTAGTTAACATTCTAAACAATTAATTTTTTTGTTCACGGACGTATTTCGTTAGAAGATACTTTCAAAACAACATATTTTATTTTATCATACTTCAGTAAATTTATTTCCTAATAATATTATTAATATTTACATTAGTTATTATAATAATATTTTTTTCTTTTTCTGTTTTCTTTATGAACGTATAACATTATCCACTGATATTATTTATGCAAATATTAATTTTATTGCAAAAATATAACAATATCATAATAAATTTTAAAACTAGTATATAATAATTCACTTTAGTTGGAAAAAAAATTCAGCCAACGGGAAAGGTATTAGGGATTAAATTTTATATAATTTCACATTATTTTGAATTTATTATAATTGGGAGAAAATGTAATTTTCGAAATGAAGGGCATGAATGAGGGTGGCTATGTAAAATTGAAGCAAGACGAAATCTAGGAGTTTTGGTAAAAATTCAAAAAATGTATTGTATGTCAACTCACCGTTATCGATTGGCTTGCTGATGGTGCGATTTTGGCGACGATTTTGACGGCCTTGGCGGATTGCATTTGTCCGACGACAACGATGTTCATGAATACTTTTTCGGCGCCCATTTTGTTGGTTTTCGTTGAGACAAAGTAAAGACTACAATTAAAAAATAAAAGTAAACATTATAATATTTCACTTCAATATACATTTAGCACTCACCAAATAGTTGAAAATTGCACAAAATATGTGTTATGCTCGAATGGAGACCACGAACGGCTTTTTATACGCTCATGAAAGCTGCTAGACAATGAGGCGATAACAGCATGGCGTGATTGTTTAACATGACGTTCTTCGTCAGTCCATAAAATTAAAAAAGAAAAACATTAAATACTATCGCAAAAGTTCGTACAATTTATACAGAGTGATCCACTTAACATGAACTAGCGATTTTCTCGAAGGCCTATATCGAATCTGATTTCTCTTTTTTCTTTTAGAACTATTTAGTTTAAGTTTTATTTTAATAATATTGTTTTGCCCCTACAATTTATATCTGAAATGAGTTTACACTTTAAATTTTCAAATAGCAACCTCCCCTTTAGAATATATATATCAGTAGACCATACATTTTTGAAAATTTGGATAAGCCATACACAAATATTAGATTTATCGATTACTCATAAACAGTAAATGATAATTAATCTATATTTCAACAAACAAACTCATTATCTAAATCTGGGTTCAAGAGGAAGTTTTTCCATTTGAAAATTAAAAATCTATGCAAATTTCAGGTGTAAGGAACAATAACACAAAATTTAAAAAGAGCTGCTACTGGGAACAGATGCAGCCATTGTTATAGGTGGGAAGTTGGGGAGGTAGGAATACATAAAGTTATTTAATTTATACCTGTATGCAAACAATAAATCATCGCTAACAAAAAACGATTTGGAGCGAAGTTCGGTAAGACATATTTTAAAATGCTATAACTTTTACGACTTTTGTCAAAATTAGATTTTTAAACGCTTATATAAAAAAAAAAAAATATGCATTAAACTAAAATTTGTATTTTAGAAATGTATTTTCTGATAACTCGTCAATCATTTTTTCTAATTCATATAATTTTAAAAACAGATATCTTCCATGGAAAATAAAAATGCATATAAAATACCAAAATATCAAATATCTATAAATAACCTAAAAATAGCTAAAATATTTATATAATTTGACCATGTCTACAATAAGCCAATATAAGTATTTTGTAAAAATTACAGATCTCTACAGTAATTTTTAATCGAATAACAACAAAAAACCTAAATTCCTTACAATTTACCGATTTCTTACATTTTTTTTCCGATGTTTCCTAATTATTAGAAAAATTATATGAAAAATCAAATAACAACTTTTTGACCTACAACCTAGACAAAATTTTCTTTTAGAAAATATAATTCTCTTGAAATTCAAACAAATATTTCAAGTGTAAAATATAATTTTAACAGTTTTAAATAATGAAATCGTTCTGTGTTAATTCGGAAAAATCGCATTTTTCGACTTTTTTGATTATGCCTAATTATTATAAAAACTACTTTATGTATCAAATAATTACACTATTTATCAATAGCTAATGGCTGTACTCTAAAAGAAAAAAAAATCAATTTCTTGTCATTTTTTGATTGAACATGATTTCTGGTAGAAAACATCGTGAATATAAATTTGAAATAAGAAAATCGGGACCGTCGTGGCGCACTGCACATATTTGTGTAGTTTTATCTATAATTATCTTTCGTTTTATTTAGAATTATTTTGAAAATCCATCAAAAAGTAGCCTATTAAATACAACAACTGGAAAAAATTTGCTTTTAGAAAAGATACTACACTCTATGCCTACATTGGAACAACATTTCTAGCAAAAAATTTATTTATAAATATAAAAAAAAAAAAAATTCACATCCTAGTAAAACCTATAGATCCCTCGCTACGCCAGGAATTTAAAAAAAAAAGATTAATAGGTTGTATTGGTGCTTCTCTTCTCATTATATGACCTAACAGTTTGTCATTTGTCCTTTAACGGAGCTTGTCAACGGTGCTATAGTATTACCATATCTGAAGCCTCGGACAATATTGAGAGATTAATTATTTTAAATTATTATATTTTAATAATTAAATCTTCGTGTAGATTTAGAAATATCGAATAATACTCTCACCATTGATTGGCCACGAATAAAACATTAAATATTCAGATCAGATGCATTTGGTTTTTTTTTCTAGAGAAATAATGCAAACTCTAGTTGTTCACCCTCACCAATCCGGTTATTCTCAATACCGTAGTTCGAGTCAAGCGAATCCAGACCTGATACTCGTTTTACATATTTTATAATATTTTAAGGCTAGCAATTCGATTTTGAAAATTGCTAAATGACTTAATGGCATAAATGCTAAATTGCAAAATTACTAAATGACCTTTGTTAATGGCATAAGTCATCTAATTACATGACTTATGTGTTTTTACCAAACGAAACGTTGATGAATCATAAAGACTCTAGATTTTTGATGTTCTGAATTTCAGTATAATATCTGTTAGAATACAATATATACACTTATGCTATTTAGACCAAAAAAAAAAAAAATGAAAAATATTATAAGATCTAATCATTTTTTTTTTTTTTTTTTTTTTAAATGCCGAAAATGTCTTATTCAATTAATTTTGAAGTTTTGAGAAAATATTATTATGGGTTCTGGTGTTCAATTACGCGTCTAAAACGAAATTAAACGTTTCGGATCGGTTAAGCGTTTTGCAGAATCGTCGATGTTCACTCAAACCTCGGATTCAACTCGATTAAAACTCTTCATACATACACGGGTATATATAACTACGATATTATAAAATGTTCAGACGTTTCCATTCCACGAAAAGCTTACTCAAAATCGAATTAATTAAAACAATATTGATCTGTCGTTAATTCGTAATAAATTCCGCGTCGGAATGACGAACGAAACGAGACCGAGTGCACCATGGCGAACAACACAGATGGTCTCTATTCTCACATTTTAATCATTGATTTTTTCTCACTCACTAATGTGAAATCTGACGTCGTTTTTCGCCGTTCAAATATCATGTGTAGAAAATAATGTAAACGATGGAAAAATTTATATCGACACCGACGCGGACACGATCTCCCGAAAAATAAATACAAATTTGTATAGTTATAATATTTTGTCGCGTTTGACCAGTGAACTAGTCCGATTTTTTCATAGCACAAATTACATTTGGCAGAAATACGAATTTCCGGTTTCTAATATTATTACCCCGACATTTCGATAGTTTTGTCTTTTATTTTATTTTTTTTTATACATTTTGTTTTTCGTTTCATATAATATTACTGTGGATAGAATATACCGATACAAACGATAATTTTTCACCCACGTGTGTTTAACACGTTCGTTCGAATGAACGTCTCAAAACCGAAATGCGTACCATGTAAATGCGATGACGGCGAACGTTAACTTTGTGCATATTAAAAAGACGATAAAATAAGTTTTTGTTAGTACCTTTGTCTCTCTTTTACTCATTTACATCACTTTACTCATAAGTTTGAAAACATCAAAAGCACGTCCGCGGGGATCAAATTAACCCGGTAATGAAAAAAAAAAGTATTTTTGATCCTTTTTGAAATAGGTAGCTATCTAACATTGTATGCTTTTGAACGAACCACCTATTTAAATAAAATTAATACGCGATAGCACTGCGCGCAAACAATGTCATGTGGCAGGTTCAAAATGAGATTGTATTACAAGTGGAGGGATACCAGAAGTAAAAAAAATAAATACGTGACTAAAAAAATAACAAAAATTACATAATAAACGAAGTTAATTTTTTTTTTTTTTTAATAAACTAATCAAAATTTCAATAATCATAATTAAAAACCAAATACGTACTTATTAAAACTTAAACAAGAATATTTTTATTTTTTGTTTTCCATGGACAATTTGTCTACCAGCAATTTCGCTTCGATTTACAAAGATAGCACTTGTTCTGAAAGAATATCTGACTGGAGTAGTACTTTAGGGAGGTTGCTTTTTGATTTTCCCAGGGGTCTTCATAATAAATTAGAAAACAGAGAAAAAAACCTAGGAACAACGAAAAAATGTACGAAACGTATTATTTTCAAAACGGTAATGGCCTCTTATTAAAACATGTATAACCGAACTCTGCTCAGAATCGTTTTTCGTTAGCAAAGATTAATCGTATTAAATTCCCCTTTTTATTCTACTTTCCAAACTTCCCACCTACAGCAGTGGCCTACCCGTCGTGTGAAATGCGTCCGTTTTTTTTTTTAACTATTACAGGGACGCCGGGACGTATGACGTACCCAATTATTATCCATGCGTAAAAACAACTGGTCGTTTTCGCAAAAATCGTCTGTTATAAAAATGTTTAATAATATAGTGATGAACTAATGTATTTAAACCTGTTTTTTTTTTTTTTTAACCTCGTCACTTTTAGCACAACGACGACGATATGCACATTGCACATGCATATAATATTATAATTTTGCCTGATGAAAATCATAACAAATTTAGGAAATAATTTTTTTTTTTTTTTCGATGTAATATTCGAGCATTTTATGTCGACGAAAAAATGCTCGTATTCGTTATCTTGTCGTAAACATAATAATATCAATATCAATATGAAAATCAATATTATATGTGAACAAGTTTGCCGAATAAAAACATAGCGGCGGAATATTTATTTTGTATTTTATTAATTTAATATCATAACGATTTTATTAGTATGAAAATAATATATTCAAAACTCGTTTTGCATTTTATTAAACGAAGCTGTTGTCTATGGATATTATATTATATTATACAGGTAAAGTAAACAAATATTATATAAACAATAATAACGAATACCCGCATAATATTTGAACGGTGTTTATTGGAAAAACTAATATATTTTGAAAAAAAGAATGAAACAACATCTTCAGGGGGAAACAAATATACTTTTTTAATAATATCGTGACTCGATTTTTAATCGACCGCCGCGATGCCTGTACCGCGTGGAGATTTTTCCCTCTCGGAAAACTATATTTAATTTCTCGCATCGCTTTCTCCAAACCGCGGACGTTTATCCCGACGGATGCGTTTATAACAATAATAATAATTTTATTAATTCGATGATCCGGAGGCGCATTAGTTAATGTAATAAGGCGCATATGATGTTAATTTGAAATATTTTTACACCTCTATTGAACACTCGAAACTGTCTGTATAGGTTAGTTTCCGTTTAGTTGTCGTAGCACCCAAAATTACGACATTTCAGTCTTCGAGCACGAAAGCTAATGAAAAATGAATACTACAAGTAGGTATGATGTGTTTTTTTTCTTCAAGGCGAACCCGTTTAGGTCGGTAAAAAAAAAAAGAAGACATCAAACGTTTCCTCATCCGGCAGCAACAAATATCCGCGTATGTAAAATTATAATCGCAGCATGGGTGCTTAAAAAGAAAATATTATCGATTAACGAATTATTGCTCAGTCCGATGCAATGACATTCACAGCTATATGCATGTATAAATACAAGTGAAAGAAGATCAAGCGTGGCAATAGAGATTCGAGACAATTGTTCTAATTGATACCGCGATTTAATATTTGAAACCCTTACAAAACCGCAGTGTTTGCTGGTCGGGATCGGTACGAAACGACGGAGATAATCCCGTTGGAAATATTGGAATAGGCGCGCAGGTTATGATCATAATATTATTGTACCTGTAAAGTAGAAGAAGAAAAACTAATAGCATAGACATCCTACAGTTTTGGGTAAAAATGAAAATAAATTCTGCGTTTTCCATAAATGATAACATTTTTTATTATTATTATTATTATTATTTAACGAACATTTTGGTCTTCAGTCCGATCGATATGACCGATGACGTAGTAGAAATAACGTGATGAAAAACAGTGTTGAATCCAGACAATTTTCCTGGGGCGTTGCTCACTTTTTTTCATTTTATTGGCAGTTGTCGCCAGAGAAGCGTATTAAATTCCAAGTAGGCATTTCCTCACCCCTCCCTGAAGTACACCCGGATTCAACACTGGAAAAAATACGAATGATCTTATTGAAAATCTGAACGATGGAAATGTTTCGTAACTCTTTTAAGGAAAATAATTTTCTTTTTTAATTTTAACGCAACGACGGAAATCACATCGTCTCTTTACTGGGTTTTTTGTTTTGTGAAAAGAAACATGAATACCCGAGTCATTTACGATGTGATGTGGATATTAAAATATCCACACGATATTTTACGATTGTCAAATAATGCCGATTACTCGAGAGTAAAATAATTGCTATTATATTTTCGAAAAAGTGTCGTTTCAACTATTTCGTGATATAACATTTCGCGTATTATTGTGTACAACCGTTGAAAGAATTATTTGTGATGCGTCATCCATGCGATCATCACGCCATCGTGAAAGTCCGACTTTTATCGACTCTCGGAACCGCGTATAAAAGGCCGATTCCGGTTTCCACACAGGCATAACACATTCGTTCGCGATATCCGAAACGATTCTACAGTGAGTATATTAGGTGCATTATATTTCATCGGAGCAGAACATATTATACCACCATTATCGTACTAATAAATATCTATTTGTTTGCGCTTTTATATCAATTGCAGTATTTTCCATTCACTTCGAAAACCGACCAAAACCCGAACAAAAATGGGCGCCGAAAAAGTATCCATGAACATCGTCGTCGTCGGACAAGTCGAATCGTCCAAGGCCACCAGGACCGTCGCCAAAGCCATTCCGGCCAACAATCAATTGTTGGTGAGTATATTCAACAGAGTTTACGAAATTGTATTCGACTCGATATTCGTACAGCTACTTTCGATCGTTTTCCCAAATCCTTTTTAACGTTTTTCGTTTTTCGTTTAATAAAACGATAATAATATATATTTATATATAAAATCGACAGTGATTAAGATAATACCTAATCATATGCGTCTTAAATTTTTATGAAAACATGAATAGTTTTCCATATTTTTTACATTATATAAGACGTGTTGTTTTACATTGTGTCACGTCGACTATTGATTACGTTTTTGTTGCTATAGAAATATTGTTACAAAAAATGCATTAAACAGTTAATATCGTATAAGGATAATATAAAGTTACGATATCGTTAATATATTTAAGTATCGGGCAATAATTTTCATTTCGTTTTGAAATCGGTAAATATTAAGTATTTCCCATTGCACGTGAATAAAACACACATTTAAAAGTAGTAAATATTATTTTCAATCAAACGCTAACGAACACGGTAATGCTGTAAAATCGTAAAATGAGCAGTGCAATAATATAAGATTAAATTAAAAAAAAAAAAAAAAATTAAAATCTAATCCTTATGACCTGTGTAATAAATGTATACGCCGAAACACCGATTGTATTGTATTTGTATTGTTTCAGAACTGTTAAAACGATACTGCATGATTAAGTCACGAAGTTCGTCCGTTGCGGAGAATCCAAAAATGCCATAGCCCGCGCAATTATTAATGTAGTTGGTAAATTCGCTATAAATCGATACCGCAATTTTGTAGCGCAGACATCTTATATTATGCCAAAATAAACCAAAACGTTCCAATATTTATACCGTTGTTCGTCGATCACGTTTAATAATAATAATTATGCCTGGTGATTTTTTGCACTGTCCTTTGCTTTTATACAAAGTCGAACCCATCTGTAGGTAACCCGGAGAACTTACGGTACTACAATCGATCGTTCGATAGCAAGTGATCGTGAAATTTTGACCAAACAAGACTGTACGCTGCCAAAAACAAAATATAGTGCAAATACAGGCCATAACGGTTATACATTACAATGCAATATACGAATCACAATATTACGCGAGAGGTAAAGGTCACAAACGGCCCTGTATAGTTATTGCTGGATATAATATATAATAATAATATATATATATATAAAAATATATGTATATAAAATATAATGTGATGAAGTTACCGTTATTATTAACCCGGAATTATTAAAAAGCTGGTGTCAGTCGTATTATGTTACCGAGTAATCCGAGTAAGTTGTAAATGCATAATTTAGTATAGTATTTTTTTTGTTTTTTCACACGTCTATTTGCGATACCATTTACGAACGTCATTGTAATTGGACGTCATTTTTATAAGATATCTGTTACACATCTGTATGTAGACTTGAAAATCGCAAAACAATATTATCAACAGTTTTTAGGCTTTCTACTATTTATACTATTTTTCTGTGTGTATAGGAATTTTTAGAAAACATATTTGTGTCGGAAAATCGAATTTATTGAACTATATAAATAAAAAATAAAAACGTATCTATTGTGACGAAAAATAAAAAATATATTGTTATGAATAACGCTTTAGATCGGTATACGGTTCGGGGAGAAGGAATAATCACCAAAATTGACTAATAAAAATATGTCGGGATAATACCTGCATTCGTGATGTTGATAAACTGATATTTTATAATGTGTTTTTCATAAAACGTCAAACAGATAAAAAAATAACAGAGAAAATAAAAAAAAAAATAAAAGTACGTTCGTAGATAACGGTCCTCGTTTTCTTCACGAGCGTCTACATAAAGACAGTTCGGAGCAATAATTATTTTATTACATATAATAATATTATTATTCCTATTGGTCGGCTATACCCGAATCCGTAATAAGTTGCATATTGATATTCATTCATCGTATAATATGCTAAACTAATTGTATTAGAAAATTGGAATTTATAAACTAACAAGCTCTATCGTACTATAATACATTTTTTATATTAATCTAAGACGCTTCAACAAGTGTGTATTTAAAGGGAGGGAAAACGAAGGAAATTAACGGCTCGATGTATTGCCTACTCGAGAATATTGTATTAATACTGTTAATAATTGATTCGTATTTTTAAAAAAAAAAAAACATTTTTTTTTTTTTTTTTTTTGTTTTCATAAATAGCTTGTATAATAGACTCTGCCTCTAAAACTTGCTCCCATCGAATTATATTATAATAATGATTCCTTTCTATTTGGCCTATTCTTTGGCCTTTTCCCGTATACTATGCCTACAGTTGCTAATCTCGTGAGACCTTCAACGGCCCACTACTACACGTGACCGTATTTTAATATCGTTTTCTGATGAACTGGCTGTACTGATGACATTACATTCCATTCTGTTTGTTTTTTTTTTTTTTTTTTTTTTGTTTTCGGATAGTAAATTATCTAAATAAGTAAGTACACGCGAGAATCCTACACGCACAAGCCCTTGAGGAAAAACGATTTATGTCACCGTGATAAACGGAGCTCAAAATTTTAATGACTTTATTAATAAGACTGTATAATATATTACATTTGTAACAAAAAAATTAAATTAATGTATTTTACCGCGGTTTTATGATTTTTGACCACTGTTAATCGTCTGTGATTTTAAATGATAATAATGCAATTGAGCCAAATTTAGCTTAATTGCATCTAGATAATATTCATATTTCAAACGTTTACGGATTCTTATTTTTTTTTTTCAGATATCTCATGAAGTAAAAAAAAAAAAAAAAAAACATTTGTAATTGCCGCATTCGTGTATTTATGTGTCTATAGATGCACCGCTCTACAATTGTATAGAAATCAAATTAAATAAATATTATTCACACAAAATTGCCCGTAGAAATAAAATCGCAAAACAAGCTAGCGAATACCGCGCAGAAATAAATCACTAGGGTTGCGTACAAGTCACCGTATCATTTTTATAAACCGTATAGAATAATGGATTTGTTATGTTCCTACCTATACCCGCGGAAACGGGTTAAAAATCTGTTTTGTACTCAGTAACTATATACGTGTCGCACTAGAAATATTGTTAGGCATATATTATATATATTACACATTATGCGTGTTTAGATACTTCAAAAATTGTATTTTTGTCCGGTTAAATCGACGTTTCTGGGCCACTGCAGTGCGGCTGTCTCCGTACCAGAGCTCCCTATTACGCGTGTACACGCTTCCCCCGTACACGCGTAAAATAAACATTTCGAATTTTTAAAACTGTGTATTTAAAAAATCCGTGCGCTCGTGTAATTGTCCACGTATACATACGTACCTATATGCAAATATTTAACGTATTTCCACTGCGTATTAACGTGAATAACACTAAAACACGGTGAACACGGATAGTAAATCCGCGTAAGTAAACATTTTTCATTCACGTGTACACGGTCTCCGTTTCCACGTCGTACTTATTAATTATACACGTTTTCAACCGAGACCTCTAATATAGAGGTATGTTTTCAACCGTATTCGCGAATTTGTTTAACAATAATAATAATAATTGTTGAAAAGAATGAAAAGTAATAACTTCTTTTCGCCTGGTAAGTATTTATAATAATATATTATTTCTCGGGCGTTGTGACGAGCAGAGGAATTTATCCACGAAACAGAAGTTTGCACAAAATTCACTTGTAAAACTAATAAATGTTGGTATACGAACGCTGGTAAAACGGAAATAATTTCCATAATATTATATTTAGTTATTTTTATTATTATTGTATTTTCACCTTCATTAAAACTTTATTCTCCAAATTCAGAATTCCGATTTAACGTACGTTTGACGTTCGTGAAATAATAATAACATGTTTACATTGAACGAGTTAACACAACGGAAAAATTGTACAATATTTAATGTATTAATTTTTTTTTTTTTTTAGTTGTACATTTCGTATATATAGGAATACGTTTATTTATAACATTGAATAGGTATTAATAATCTGCATATTATATATATTGAATTTTTTTTGAGATTCTGAGTTTAGCAAAAAATGTATTGGTTTTACAAAAATGTTTATTTATTTATTATTTTTTGTTTTATTTTTATTTTATATGAACACTTTTTTACCAGAAAGCTTACTCCGATAAACAAGTATAGTACCTTTTCAGAAAATAAATGTTTTCTCGGTGGTTCTTTAGAGAGGTCATTTTTTAAAATTCTCATTATTTTTCGAGATAATGAAGAAAATCTGGTTCTTTAGGTTAAAAAAGATTGAAAGATTAAAAATAAGGTTGTCATTGGCAACAGTTTTTATTTATTTTTTGTTATTATTACATTTTTATAATTTTAGTTGATTTTTATTACAATTATTGTTGCTGTGGAAACGCACATTGTTGCAATCATTTTATCATAATATAACGTATATTTTTTTGACAAAGAAACACTATCAACTGAACTCCGATTAGAATCGTTTTTTCGTTAGCAATGGTTTATTAAATATTAAATTCCCGTCTGTATCCTACCTTTCCAACTTTCCACTGAAGTATGTCCGTCCTTTTTTTATTAATAAGACATTAAGAACAGATTAAAATATACAATTTATTACAGTCTATAAACCTAACATTTTATTTGAAATAAAATTGTATTTTAATACTGTGTCTGTACATTGTTTTAAAGGGAGATATTATGTCCGATGAGCATTTTTTTTTTTAATTTGTGTTATTTTACATACATAAAAATATTATACAGGCTGCCCCACGAAGATATACCCCTTGATTATCTCCAGAGATAATAAAGATAATCCAATTCTGATTTTTTTTTTTTATCATTCACAGGGATGAGGATTACAAGGAATTTTTAAGCATTACACATTTATTGAAATATTACTCAACTGGAAGCTTTGAGTTTTATTCGATATCTCCCAACTTAGAAAAACACGATACATAAATTGAATTTTTACGAATAGTAAATGGCCTTTTTTTTTCACACCAGAATTCGACCTTTATACAGGTAGTATCAGTGGATAAATTTGTTAACTAACACATTATATATGCGATTAAGGATATATTATGATAAATGTATTTTTATTTCATGCGTTTAATCTTTTTCGGCATATTATTACAGATGTACAAACAAATAATGTCAAAACAAAAATACATAATGTATATATGGAGATTTATAATTGATAAAGGTGTTGACTTAAAGTATGACTTCAAAAGTTAAAAAAATGTTAGTAAACAACTTTATCCGCCGTCTTATTCAATTGTGGGGCGAAACTGATTTTCCGATTTGAACAGTAAAATAACAACCAAAGTAACGGCCGAATAATTATATTATTGTGTTTATAATTATAATATTATTATAATTCAATATTACATTTTATACTAACATAAACACGCGAATGTTTGTTGATTACTCATACGTATTCAAAATTTTTTTATTCAGAAAATAAACTGCAGAATTTCGATTAAAAAAATAAAAATATATATTTATATACTCAGGTACATTGTTGTGGATTCCGTGCGAAATTATGTCAAATTTTCGGTCAATCGTTAAGATGGAAATTTTTTTATTCTTGATCATAATATTATACTTGTTCATCGAATTTATTTGCATTTTTTTTTGTTTTTTTTCAATACGGATCTTCAGTTTATACCAGACGTCATATTATAATTTGTATTTTTATCGTAGCTACAATACATATACATTATAGGTGCACAATGCATAAAATGAACAAATTTAATACCTTCCACCATTCTCCGTCGATAAATCCTGCACCGGCGGCGGTAGCGGTTACAATATAGATTATAATAATAATATATTCTATACACCTTGGGAATTTACTTTGTTTCCGAATATGATAAAAAAAAAAAAAAAAACGTATTCTACTAAAATGTGAGATAATCGCAGCAAAAAATTCTAATATTATTACATTATTATAAAAAACGAAAATTTAATACACGAATCGCTAAATTCGAAAAGAGCAAAAAAAAATAATATTCTATCTCTGGAAACAATTGTAAAAAAAAAAAAAAAACGGACAGACTTTGCACATGGATGTAGCCACTATTGCAAGTGGGAAGTTGGGGAAGTGAGATACAGGCGGGAATTTAATGTACATCTGTAAGCAAAGATAAACCGTTGCTGACGAAAAAACGATTCTAATCGGAGTTCAGTTGATAGTGTTTCTTTGTCAACAAAATATACGTTATATTATGATAAAATGATTGCAACAATGTACGTTTCCACAGCAACAATAATTGTAATAAAAATCAACTAAAATTATAAAAATGTAATAATAACAAAAAATAAATAAAAACTGTTGCCAATGACAACCTTATTGAACCTAGAAACTTTTTTGAACCTAAAGAATCAGATTTTCTTCATTATCTCAAATATAAATGAGAATTTCAAAAAATGACTTTTAAAGTTACCACCTTGAGAAAAATTTTCTCTCGGGAAAGATGCTGTATTTGATAATCGGTGTAATATTTTTGGTGGAAAAAAAAATAAATAATAAAATAAACATCTTCGCTAAACTCATAATCTAAAATGTGTCATGAAACTAAATTATATTACATTGTTAGATGTAGCCTATACGTTTATATACCGTAATTTTATGAAATATTATAAAACTCTACTAATTTAAATGCATATTAAGAAGTTTTTATATTTCTTGAAAAATTTAAAAATTTCACTTGTGTCTTTTTTACACCAAAGTATTTTCAAATATTATTAAAAACGACTAAATCAACTTTTAACGTAATTTTTTTGCTTTTATCCTTTACACTATAAAGATTTAATTGAAAAAGCGGGATATAATTTACGTCATGTGCAAGTCATTGGTGTTGATGGGAAGTTGGGAAGGTTAGAGTTAATATACATACATACATACATACATACATACATACATAGAGTTTTTAATTTACATACTAAAAGCAACAATAAATCATTGTAATTAAAAACGATTATGATCAGGCCCGGTAAACCTACCAGGTGTTATGATAGCATTAATCATTAGCCAAGATATTGATTCAGAAATTAACTTTTTAGTTTTATTTTTTATTTTTAGAAAAACTGTAGAAAATCTAGACGAATTGTTCAAAATATACAGAACTACGTACTGAGGGAAAAATCTGCATATTTTTAAAGTATACGGTATGAGCGATTTAAAGTATTTTTTACTAACTGAAAAAGTGTTTTCCGATAAAAACCACAAATAATAATCTAGGGAAGAATTTTAAAAATTTCAAAAAGTTAAACTGTGGACGAAATGTCTGTATTTTTAAGGTACTGTATGAAAAAATAAAAGCATTGTCAGAATATTGCTCACCAAAAAACCTTACTCATAGATGGAATCAAACACTGCAGACTATGAAAAACAACTATCAATACATTTGGATATATTTAGCGTGCTGCAAGTTGCGTGTGCAAAAAATAATATTTCCATTCCGGTTAAATTTCGGTTGCGAGCGTTCAAAACACGATACAAGCGACCACGGACGAGTGGAAATGAAAATGGTGTGAGAGTAGGTACCTGCAACAGCCAGTTACGGTACACAAGCGTACACAAGAAGAGTTCACCGTTCGGTAACTTTTGCACCGACGGCGACGAAAAGTTTTGTAAAATATTAATAATATTCCGTCGAATTTTAACGAACAAAAACTAATTAATTGACTTTTGATTTGTTTTAAATTTTCGTTTTATTCGTGTTCCAAACGGTGCGTATACCGGCTTATTTAACACTTTAAACTTTTCGACGGCTGCCTGGGCTTGTATATATTTCGTTCCATTTATTACTATACTTACGGATAAATCAAGATAAACCCCCAACACAATGATATTATGTTCGACAAAACATTCCGTGTACCGAACTTAATATTTCATCTTCGACGTAGGCTTACCGCGGCGGTTCCGTTGAAGCTGCAAATTAAATAAATTATTAAAACTCGACAGCGACAGTGATGTATAATGAATTAAAATAGTATGTTAAATGTCGTAGCCCATAAGCATGTATTTACCAGTGGTGTTACGAAATTTTCGATTGGGCGGACTAGGCCACCGGAATGGCGGGAAATTTCCCAGTGAGCCAGCGCCTAATTCGGCCGCATGACCCGTGGAGGTTACAGTGGTGGTTTACAGGAGGCGTGACACGAATGAATCGGAACAATTTGTGCCGACAAGTGGGGAAATCTGGTACACGAGAAGAAACGTGAGGAAGCTCTTTGGAATTCAATTCATCGGCGCGATTTACAGCAGGACCGTTGTCGGAAAAAGTCGATTTAATTCGCAATAGTACTCACTGGGAAAATGTGTTTTGGATTCACAATCGACACAGCTCATAAACGGTATACCTATGCGGTCACTGCAGATGTAAATCCCGGCGACACGTTTAGTCTCGGTCCGCCCCTGTCGAAGGGAAAAATCGAAAAGGAGATAATTGCTACCGAGACCGTACGGTCGCACGGCGTGCAGCCGACCGTGTTGTGCGCGTAGGAAAACGATCGTACACCGGGAAGCCGTTACCTATAGACGGACAGTGGCGGAAGTACGAGGGCGTGCGCGCGACAAAACAAAAACGAAACGCCACGGTCGCCATTCAGGGCGGAACAGGCCCGCAATCCCGTCCGAGTACACGGAGTGATGTCGGCGAAATATTATCAATTCGGTAACCGGCCACCACAATGCATGCGCGCGCGTATCGGCAATAATCGCATTGTGTCTCTTGCGCGAAACAGAGAGCCCGTCGGCGGCCGGCGGGTAACGGCTCTCTATATTGTACAGTCGACGTGCTACAGGACCCGAAGGGACTGTATTATAAATCTACATACATACGTACGTACGTACGTACACCCACGCGCACGCACACAGGACGGGTAATATCGAACGGGGCGGGCGCTTTATCGCGATCCTCTAGCGCGTTTATAATACGACCGATACGGGACCGTATTCGTTACAATATAAATTTACTGCGGACGTATTATTTCGCCCGCGCGTCTGCTGTGTATAATACGTACACGGTCGCGCCGTTGCTAGCTGGAGCACAGCGGCGGCATAATATTTTAATATAACACGGCGATGAGCGCCATCCGGTCGTACAACCGCATCATATGGCGCCGCCGCCGACGCGGTGTTATTATAGAATAATAACGTTTTAACGCGCGCGTGAGGGGGCGGTGTACGGACCGTATACACCGCGAGCACAATAATATCGTAACACCGCGCGCGATATTATGGCCCGGACGAATCGTATTGTTCGATATTATTCCGCGTTTTCGATCGGTTTCCGTCGTCGTCGTCATTGCCGGCGCCGCGGCTACGGTGTGTCCGTGCGTTATGACGTGTTCGATTATCGCGATTGGCGTGCACAATGCTGACGCGATAATATTTGCCCGAAACATTCGCGGCTCGTGGCCGGTGGCGTTATTCAACGGGAGCGGACGTTGACGAGTAACAATCGCGAACAAACGGTCTTGTCTGTCCAATTCGACTGAATACAAATTCAAACGGCGGATTACGTAAAAAAAAACCAAAAAAAAACGCCAATTTGTAAACAATATATCATGCTTTTACTCCTAACACGGCCGACGTAACAATAATTTCAAGATTTCAAATTACAATAGAAAGGCTCTAAGATCCCCGTCCCGTGGTGCATTCGCCACTGATTATAACGGTTTCCATCCGACTACACTTGCGTACACCTTTTGCTTAATCGGAGCAGCCGCGTTAGATAACGCGAAAAATAATATAAACAGTGTTCAATGTAAAACGAAAGGCGCGATCATTGGCATACACAAGTTAAAAATAGTAAAAATTAACTTACGAAATGATAACAATCTTTTTTTTCAAATATCGCTCATATCCATTGTCATTCATAATGATATACATTAAGATTGCATATAAAGCAATTCAACTATCTATCGACTATCACCGATTTTGACAATAATTTGATATTTGCCTCGGAGATGAGAATATGTTAGGCAAACTTTTTATTAATAAAAATACATAGTTTTGCAAACATAACGATAGTTGATAATAACGTATGAGCATAATAGTGATTTATAATCGGTTAATAATCGAACCATAGATGTTATCGCAAACGAACACGCCATATCACCTCATTCTACATAAACGACTATCGCCTGAATCCCTATAAAAATACGTGCACGATTATGATTTTAGTATAACACAGTATTGAGCTATTTTATTCTCTGGTGAGTAAATTATCATATGAAACGTTTTCAAATGTGTGACCAAAGTTAACAGTTTTTTATTTTTTTATTTGCAGTCGCTTCTTGACTCCACGAAAACTAATCAAAATCAAAAATGGGCGCAGAAAAAGTATCCATGAACATCGTCGTAGTCGGACAGGTCCAATCAGCCAAAGCCGCCAAAATCGTCGCCAAGGCCGCACCCGCCGACAGTCGATTGATGGTAAGTTTGACCGCGAGTTTACTTGTTTTGTTTGACTTTTTTCGTTTGTTCCATTAGACTTCATTATGATTGTACGCATTAATTAATTCATATCGCATTCTGTTAACCATTTTACTATGACGATCACAGTAAAAACTTATACGAAATATTATTTATCAATCGATAAATGACTTTAATATATCTAAACATGTATTAAAGCGAATATAATAAACAATATCGCTTTATTCTTAAAGCCNTTTTCTCGGTGCCTAAGTATGTGAAGTCATTGATCATGATGTCGTTTGTTTGTTTCAGAACTGTTAACTCATTTACTCAACTCATCGAATACACACTCAAAAATGCCATAGCCCATACAAATGTACACAATATTATGTAACTTATAAATATAATGTAAATTGACATACAAAAATAAACCATTCTTTCCGTAATTTACTTTGTTTTTGTTTACTATACATTTTAAGAATTCATCAACATAATATGATTATAATATACATTAAAAAATTAAACGACAACAAATCGTCCAAGTGGTTAACACTAAAAAATATAATACGTAACTTAAGTGAAATAAATCAATATGAACATAAATCGCCGAGAGTATTGTATACTTACAATTAGATTTTAAAAATTTTTATTCGATATAATAGAACAACATAGTAAAAAAAAAAAATACGGGCATACTTCGTACGTTCGGTGGGACACTGTTGTAGGTGAGAAGTTAGGATGGTAGGATATAGAGAGGAATCTAATGTTCATCTGTACGAAACGATTAATCTTTGCTAACGAACAACGATTCTGAGTGGAGTTCGTTGTACGTGCTTTGAAATGCCTTAATATTTAAGATTTAAAAATAATAAATTTCGTAAATTTTCCCATTTTTCCTAAAAATTTTCGGGTTTTCCTATTTATTTACCACTGAAAAATCTAGAAAAGACCTGTTTAATGTTCCATTCCAGTCAGATATACAAAGTACTACACTTAAAAATCAAAGCGAAATGTCTACTGGTTAGAAACATTGTTTATAAATTAAAAAATACATGCATAAAAAAGCATTCAAAATTTTTTTTTAAGTATTCGTTTAGTACTATTGGTTTCGAAAAAACAAGTAGTTGGTAAGTGATTGAAAATGTAATCAAAAGTAATTGTGTTACAAACAAACATTAAAATTATTTCATAAGAATTGTATTTGATATTTCAATATAATTTTCAACTAAAAAATAATATCTTGACAGAAAAAATGACAAAAATCTGTTTAACAAATTAAATTGAAAAAAATCCCAATAAACACTTTAAAACAAATTTAAAAATGACCTTCCTAAGTACCACCCTAGTCAAATTTCCTTTTAGAAAAGTTGCTGAACATACTACACTTGATACATCAGAGCAAGATTTCTGGTATGAAAGTTGTTCATAAATAAAAATAAAAATAAACTTTATTGTAAAACCAATCCTTGCTACTCTCCGAATCCAAAAAAAATTTGTATTTTGATCAAAGTTACTTAAAAAGAACTATTCCAAAGACTATTCAAACTGATCGTCAAAAATTGATTTAGCTGTTCGAAAAAGTAATTTTTATTGCATTTGTGCAGTATAAGAGTTAAAATTTTTAAATTTATCTTACGATGTGTATTTTAGTAACCCCTATCACCTCCCGAAAACGGAATATTAATCCATTGTTAACCACCCAAAATACTTAAGGTTGCCCGGACACGTGAGCACATTTTCTAGAATCATATTTTTCGGATTCGGTTTAATATACTAATAATGCTATATATAATATACTTATATACTGTATAAGCCACTGTTTCCAAATTAAGAGTATCCGGATTCGCGGACAACGAAACGTCAATTGTCAACGATATATAAACAGTTTTCCACCTTCGATAAAACTTACACCCGTTAGATAGCCAATATACCGAGTACCCGACGTAGTATAATGTCATTATTATTATTATTATTGTCGTCCAATTTCGGTTCGTCGTGAATATTTACAAATAATGAATCGGTCGTTAATATATGATATAAATTGATCGTGGGCGATTTGTTTGCACAATAATATGGTTAAAAGTTCTTCGGCCGAGCGGTAACTGTATTCCAAAGCTAAAATCAATAACACTCGTATAACATAAATCGTTTCATAATTAACTGATCTACGGTGATTATTGCTCGGCCAATTTTATTCAATTGAATAGAAAAAACAGAATATCTCGCTTTCTTCCCCCTTGATGTCAGATAAATTCACGCGAAATTTGAAAACGTGTTTCTCTCTTATCTACTATTGATTTCGCATAAAAAAATTGATCGGGTTCAGTAGCGTATTTAAAAATTTTGCCAAGAGGAGATATTCGATTTTCAAATTATGATGTTGTATTGTGTAACGTTCATCCAATGTCCATGCATGTATTTTTTATATTTGTATAAAGTAAACAATAATTTACTAGTCTGACGTCCTTTATAGTTATTAGGTTCGGATTTAAGTATTGTTTTAAACAAGACAATTTATACGTTCGGGTTTTTTTTTTTTATAGATCAATATTAACAACTATTATAAGGATTAAAATTGTTGATATTTTTCTGACTATAAAGGGGAGAAATTTGAATTTAAAAATAGTTAATCACATAAATAATAAATGATCGAAAGAGGAGATGTAACTCCCAAATCTCTTCCCGAAAGTGCGCCACTCATAGGGTTATTAGTCGTAGAGTATGATTTTAAAAAATATTCGAGATAATATATTTTATGATTTCTTCCTCTCCTTATCGGGCGTATGGAGAAAGAACTGACTCCATCCTCTGCGTTTCAACGAAATTCGAAATTTGTAAATTCGGATTTCGGAACTTTATTTATGTTCATATTTTTTAAATCCGTCACACCATACTCGAGTATTGTGAAATATGCGAAATTCAAATTTTTAAAATTTGTATAAATAATTTGGATTTATATTGTATACTATTACTATAGTTGACACGGAGTGTGTTATTTGTTTGCCGTTGTATTTATTTCTAAACGAGCTCGTTGATCGGTTTGGCGGACCATGTTATAAAAACGAAAAACATTGCCAATATACATTGATGTTTTTGTTATAAGGCCGTCACGGGTACCGTATTATATTTTCACACGGAAAACATATCAGCTATAATGTATCCGGTACGTCACGTCACGTCTTCGGTCGCCGGGCGGTATTACAAGACGGTAGAAATAAATGGACGTCGGGTCGGAGGGCCGCGGGCCGGAACGTTCGTCTCTGCGAATCACGCGGACGATCGGTCGCGGAGATATCGTCGCAGAAGCAGCTTTCGGTTTTAGGACGCGCGAGAGTCACGACAATATCGTCCGCAAAGGATATCGCCGTCGAAACATTAATCAACGTTACTCGTCCGCTCCCCAAAAGCTCACGGACTTTCCGTTCCCGGCGCGCAAAGTCTTCCGGGGGACCTATCCCTCGCCGGCCTTTGCCGAGTAACAGAGCACGTCAACGACTTTAGCAAAGGTCACCTATATATATAGGCGCCAAAAGCCACGATGCGCGATTTCGCTATAATCGTCACGTCCATCAAAGCGATTATTTTTTTCTTTCATTCTATTTTTTCTTTCCAGCGCCTTTCGTTACCGCCCAATCTGTTCGCGAAAATCTCGATTTACATATACGCCCACAGCACATAATATATTACGTGGGCGAGAGTCGCACCGCTTGCAATCGAATAAAAACAAAAAACCCAGAGAGAACCGAATTTGCTTGAAGAGAAAAAAAACTCGTCTTCGGTCGTATATCGACACCACTACCTCCCGGGCGAGTACGGTAGATTCAAATTTAGTAAAAAAAAATCCCCTTCTTTGACCTGGAGTGATGGCTCGAGATGCCGAGGAAAAGTTGTTTTCATAAATCTCTAGGTAAATGCGATAAAATGCATTTAAACATTATTCGTACCAAATGCAAACAATAAATATAAATTTATTTGTATGTAGGCATACGTATGATTTTTTGAGCTTTTACAGTCTTTCGTGAATCGTTCGCAAATTTAGACAAGTTTAACAATTTATTTAACTGGTTTTAGTTGATTTATCCTAAAAAAAAATTAAATATTAAGTAAATTACTCTGAAATACACTTATAAACGTATTAAGGATAAAATGACAGGAAAAATCACTGACAAAATGTATCTATCTACAAATATTAGTAACTGAACTGACACACGAAAAAAAAAACACACACTTCATAATATAACCAACAGATTCCTGACTACGCTCAAAATCTAAAAACATAGGTCATAGTTAGATACATAATTTATTATCAAAAAAGATTCATATATGCATTTTAAAAAATAACTTAAATTTTAACAAAAAGAACTAAGTTAGGTTAAAATATTATATATTAAAGATATATAGGAAACATCAATTATTTTATTATTTTCTTACATTTTTTTATGTTTAATAGGTGTGAAATTATATTGTAAAGTAGCTTTTCTGCGATTCACTCTTTGTCTCTACCAAGAGAGAAATAAAGCTTTTATTATTATATTATATTGTTATTATTGCAGTATTATAAATTATAATAATATCATTACGGTTGATAAATCGACTTCCGGTGGATTCGAATACGTCTTCCGCGGTACCGATTTGGATCAGCCTGTCGAATTTCGAGATATTTACGAAAACAAAAATATCATGTTTTCGGATGGCGATATAGATATTTTAAGCAGGAATATAAAATTTCACCTCCACGAACTATATTTTCGACAAGAAAATAGGACGTTTATAATTAGGACAAGGACACACGAAAATGATAAAAATCGATTAACACCAATAATTATTTGTAAAAAGCATTATAATATTATTATTATTTATTTTTTACAATTGTACCTAGATATTTATTTATTTATATAGTTATATATTTCATTCCGAAGAAAAATTTTTTTTATAATTTAAAAAACATGAAACGCATCATAATTTGTATTCTCTTTAATCTATATGCTCTCTATGCAGAGGCGTGTTACTATAGAAGAAAATATTCGATTAAGCCTGGCTGGTCACGACTAAAACTCATAATATATTTGTAACTCATGAAATATTGTAATTGCCTATATGATGCCGAAAAAATTAAATTTTTGATATAGTGTAATGACGTTATATGATTATACATTATTATATTTTCGAAAATTAATAACTAACGTGAAATTTAAATTTTGCTCACTCAGTTTAAGTTTTCGATTATGCTCGGTCGAGTAAATGGTTAAATAACTATTATGTTTGCCGTGTACATATTGGCCATATTTTAAACCGACTTCAAAAATGAAGGAGGTCGAAGGTTCTGTATTTAACGGTTATAGTTTTGTGTTTTATATGATTTATAATATACGTATTTATACGAGCATATATACATATTTACAAGAGTCATGCTCCACTGTGCACATATGAATTTGGACAATTTTTGTTTA